AAATGTGCGAGACAAAAATGCTGATGCTTTAAAAATAGTCTAACTTTGAACAAACAGAATGGTGTCAGTGTATCAAAATTACAGAAAGGTCATTATGAGGACGCCCGCGTTGTGTTAACCGGTGTCTACATCGTTCAATGTTAATTGACGACTTCAGAAACGGAAGGAAAGTAACACCGATCTCACATAATCTTTACGTTTATATCTGCTATCACTGTTGCAAGTTTCGCAAGAATATCGTTTAGTCAGCTTAGTTACTAATTTACGTTAGGCTAAACTTGAAAGTGGCCGTATTATAATAACAACCCATTTGACGTCATTCCGGATTACGTCTATTGCAATATATCTAGGCCTAGCATCAAACTTTTTCATACTTACATTTCTTCCTCATCAAAAAATGACACAGTATGAGTAATAGATTTCTCTTTCTCTGATTCAGATACCCAGCCAGGCCACCATATCCCATCACAATTTACTAATACTTTATCATTCACATGAAACTTATCCATCACTAGTCTGGTTAGTTGCCTTGGCTTCAAATGGTTCAGTTTTCTGGTTGATCTGAGCTGATCTGCATAAAAACTCTGAGCAAAATAATCATAAGGTACACACAGTGAATATATGTTGAGACATAAGCAAAAAGATTCGCATAATCATCATCCAACAATAGAATGCACAAGTCACAAATGACGGAAATGACACTTTGTAAAGAAAACAAAATTAACATGTAAGGTTTCATTGTACTGATCATCCAAATATAGGCTCTAAATTAGCCTAGACAAAATGCTAATGACTGACTAGATTGACACGCGAGATGGAGGAATGGCAAACTGTTCTATCCACGGAACCATCATGACCATGACACAAAGTCCAATGTGGAAAAATCGGACTCAAGAGGACTTCAATGCTCATAAGCTGAATCGGAAATGACTATATCAATAGCTAAAATATGATAAAAGACATCTTGTAGGAATAAAACAGTAATAATTTTCTTACATGTACTCAGAAAAATGTCTGTGTGAGTTCTTCTCAAATGACAGTGAGAAATTCAGGTGAGGATATGAACGTAAATGAAAACCGGGTGTGTGAGCAATTCGGGTAGTCCTGCACATCCAGATATATATTTCCCTTACAGGGCCAATGTACAGAATGTCTTGATATTCTAGACAAAATGATTGGATAAGGGAAGTTACTCCAAATAAAACTTGGCTAGCATGGGAATGTGTGTAAAATGTTAAGTGCATGTGCACATATATATGTTATGAGTGCAGCCTCGTGAGGATAAATCTATGACCACCAAAAACATTCTCCTAAGGGGTTGTTAGGCATTATGATCAGGTCTTCACTGTGAGGAAATCCTCTCTCAGAATTTTTTACTCTTAGGGGTCTGTTCAGCACACACTTTTTCTCACATGGGATGGCTCGTCAGCCCACACACACACACACACACACACACACACACACACACATACATACATACATACACACACACACACACACAGACAGGGGCGACGGCATAATACGTTCACATTATGAATGTGGACGTATAAAAATTGGCCCAAATACTCCCTGGGGACTCAGCTTTTGAAAAAACCCATTAGATTAGCCATTATTTGGACTATTTCTTCACATATTCCTGTTTGATTTGCATACAGAAATCCACAGTTACATGTACATCTGTGACTCTCATTATAACCATTTACATTAGGTGTTGAAAGGCCTTATGAAATTTGGGCACATATATTTTTATCATTGATAAAAATAAAGTTTGCTTGTCCTGTACATATATCATGTATGACCGACTATTGCTACTGAATCCTGCCATGTGATAAGTAAAAACATGTTCAGTTATATACCACTTCTGACAATGTGTGTCAGCTACCTCACGCGTCTGCTGTCCCCTATTCAGATCACTACACTCAAACTAATGTGAGGGGACCCAGTACATATTCTATCCAAATATAAGGTCAGAATTTATATATGTTAACTACATGTGACTAAGATAAATTATTTCCTCTTTGATATTGAAAGAATAAATGGAAAGATTACATAAAATTAACAAGATTTAAACTATTTTGTGATAATTAAAAATGGTGTATTTTATTAATTAGGGTAAAAGTTAAACATGCATATTACGAAAACTTTTGCAATTGGAAAATTAATTGATATTTGACACATTTCATGTAAAAAATAATATTTGTAAGTTTATGAAAATAGAGAATTTCATAAAATAAATAAGTAGTTTGTTGAATTTTCATTAGAGTGATAATTAAATAATTGTAACAAGTGATTAAGAATTGACATTGTGTGATAAATATGAATGTGAAAATTATTTTGCACATTGTAAGTGCTTCATGTCCTACACATGGCAAGGACTGGTGTAATGGTAATGGAATGAAATCATTACATGATTTGAAGTAATGGTAATGGAATGAAATCATTACATGATTTGAAGTAATGGTCATGGAAAAAGGAATGTGATTAATTACATTCCAAAAATCATGTAATGGTCAATTACATTTCAGTTACTTTTCAATTACAGTGTATGGCACATACATGTATCAATATTTTCATCTATGACAAGCCTCAAATTTTAGCATAAAAAGTACATTAAGTATAATTTGACAAAAATTGAATTTAATTTAATTAAAAAAGTAAGATTTACATCTATTTTTATAAAAACATAACAAGAAGGTATAACTATTATTTTTATTACTTTTTATTTAGGTTCATTTTTCAGACATATAAACTTAAACAAAGTTGATTTCCAAATAGATGTAGATTGTAATCAAAGATTAGTGTTAATTAACATTCCCATCACTCAATCAGTTAAATTAAAAGACAATTAGATAGTACTATTACAGATTAATGTTAATCTCAAGGTAAATGGCAAAACAAACAATGGTTTTCAAATAACCAATTATTTTATGGTTACTAAATAAAAAAGAAATATTGTTTTACAGTCAAACTGAATAATTTCCCAATTATGCAATGTTTACAGATACAAACTAATTGGATTGATTATGAATTTTATCTAATACTTGAGATAAGTTCTAGTTAACAATACCTTAAAGCCACACAGTTACATCAACAGTTTTGTTTTGTCACAACGTTGCACACTTGAAAATTTTCCTTTGCCTTGATGTGATAACAATTCCTTACAACAAAGATTAATTTATAGATTATCAAAGATTATTTTGAGTGCGATTTCGTTGTTGATCCAGGGCAAAAAAATAAGGTTGTCATTTTAACCCTTTAAACGTTGGATTGTTTTGGGGTTTCGACTAGGAAAAGTAAATAGTTAATATATCCTGTAACTTTTTATACGCCCACATTTTCATGTGGACGTATTATGCCGTCGCCCCTGTCTGTCCGTCCGTCCACAAATGTTTGTGGACACTCTACAGGTCACAATTCTCATCCGATTTTGATGAAACTTGAAATATAGGTTTATCTCCAAAATATCTCGGATGCTTTCGATATTGGCATGTATCGGATCAAAACTTCATGGATTATGGCCCCTGTTTGTACGAAAAATCACGTTTTTAGCTTGTGGACACTATAGAGGTCACAATTTTTATCCGATTTTGTTGAAACTTGAAATGTAAGTTGATAACCCAAAGATCTCGGTTCCTTTCGATATTCGCGCATATCGGACCGTAACTTCCTGAATTATGGCCCCTGATTGTACGAAAAATCGTGTTTTTAGCTTGTGGACCCTATAGAGGTCATAATTTTTATCCGATTTAAAAAAATGTATTATTATATCACCGCTCCACCCTAAGGATGGCCGAGTTCGAATTTCGTGAAAATCGGCCCTAAATTGACAGACAAAATGGCCGCTGTTCGTTCTCAAATAGCGTAAAAATATGGTATATCAAGGTTGTGGACCCTATAGAGGTCACAAATTTTATCCGATTTTGTTGAAACTTGAAATGTTAGTTTATAACCCAAAGATCTCGGTTCCTTTCGATATTCACGCATATCGAATTGTAATTTCCTGAATTATGGCCCTTGATTGTAGGAAAAATCACTTTCTTGTTAGCTTGTTCTCTATCCATCTCTCGAAAATGTGGGCGTATCCTGCCTGGCAGCCGCTGGTTAAATTGAAGAATAAATCACACAAATGTATATATTTTTGGAAAGATCTTGAATTCCTCTATTCAGTGGTATGAAATATTTAACATTTTTTGTCATAGCCATCTACTAGGATTTATTTTTTAAACTGATGAATATTCAAAACGTTCCATATGGAATGCCATAAAGTATATAATGGGTAATTTTGATCACTTTCAATGTTATGAGCAATGGTAATTAATGCTAAAAATGAAAAGTTATTTTAATGATTACATTGGCCCCAACCCTTCTGTGACATGGCACATGATACAAGTATCTAAATTTGCACAAATACTTGTACTTCTTGAGGACTACTCTTTTGAAAAATCCTGTTGGATTAGCCATCATGGTGGACTTTCAGGCACCGAAATATATTTTTTTGCGATAAAATTACACCTAATTGTCCAATTTTATTGATCCTTCATTCAGCCATTTTAGCTAACATGATTTTGTAACAAATGACCCTAATCGGACACCTATGCAAATTTTAGTGCTTTTGTATCCAGATTTGAACAATTTTTGCAGTTATCTGCCTCAATACAGGAAAAAAAATCAAAATATGGTTTTAATTGGCCTTGCTAAGTTATATTTTCTTTTAAATAAAACTAAGTTTGGTGATCGAATTTGATAATGTTTCTAAATGATCAATTTGATAATGTTTCTAAATGATCGATTAGATAATGTTCCTAAATGATCAATTTGATAATGTTCCTAAATGTTCAATTTGATAATGTTCTTAAACGATCAATTTGATAATGTTCCTAAATGTTTTTGACTATCTAAATCGATAAATGTGCAGAGAAATTGGAAGCTTGAGTTTACTTATAAAGGGTACTTGTTGGAGCAATAGTACTATTTTAAAACATTTTAAATATTTTTTTTAGGGAGGAAGACAGTATGGTAGTGGTCCACCACCAGGACAGATGGGAGGAGGTCCACCAAGAATGGGGATGCCGGGAGGGATACCACATCCAGTTTATGGTAAATATTAACAATAAGACATTACTATTATATATTATTAAAGTATTATTGTCTTGAAGTCTGGGCTATTGAAGTTTTATATATTAATTCAATGTAAATGATTCAATGAGTGGGTAAATGTTGTAACACGAGTACAACTTAATGTTACTGTTAGAGAAGCTGAAAGATAAATATTGTAAAAAGACACCTTAGTGTTCGAAGCTAATAAGATAATGTACATGTAGGCCTACAAACTTTTTAAGATTTATTATTAAAATGTTATTGAATCATATTAAATGGCTTGTTATTTTGTAAAAGGGCATTAAGCATACTTTTCAGCACATTTTTGGTTATCATTACCTATTATTATGTATGTGTACCTGGAAAAAGTACCAGTTACACTATTTGAGTGACGTTTCGAAGAATGTTCTCTCAACATTATCAAGCAAGTACATTGAGAAAACGTTGCCCAAATAAAAATTAGTAGCTGTTTTCCATAAGTATGTGTTTATAGTTTATTGTTTTATCCAGTTACTAGCTAAAAGAAAGATTAATACAAATACTGTACATAAATCCAAAGAGGTAATCAAATGCAAAAAGTCCATAAATTGAAAAACAAAGTCATAAGTAAATTGTAAGTGGACTTCATTATATTGGAATCTATCAAAATAATAGTACCCGAAAGTTAAGTAGTATCAGTTTGAATGGAAGAGTACGCAAAATTATAAAATTGAATAAAAAAAACAATTCTCAACATAATGTCTCAGAACTAGATTAATATTAAAATGCCAGATTTTAATGTCCTTTTTTAAAAAACAAAGTGCTTTGTTTATGATGTTATATTAACTTCTTACATGTACTTTATAGTATACTGTTTTTAGGATACCATACATGTATCATGTTTTTAATTTCACTGAAAGTCCATTCTGCATTTTTTGATCAGAAGTTTTAGTTCTACATAACAGTCCTTTGCTACATTAAGATTAGCTCTTTCTACTATTCAGTGTAATTGACAATTAGTGGAAAAAGAAAAGTACTTTATAGATACATGTAATGATTTTGAAACTTTTGATGGTCTATTCTGTATTCATGTAATGTTTGTTTTGTTAAGAAGTTCAGTTTTATTGTTAATATAGACAGAAATGTTAATTAGAAGAAATTTAAAAATTATTAAAATGCGATCTCATTGAATAAGAATCCTGTTCAAAATATTTGCTGAATGGTTGGATGAGTACATGTATATCTAGTTTTCTGAAATACAAAAATTAGATTACCATGATATTGAATAATTAGGGTTAAATTGATGAATACACATTAGAGAAACACTAAAGTATGATAGCTGTATGCAAATTCTTAGAACACATAAAATGTTTGGAGAAAAAAAATGATGTCACAATTGAAATGAAACTGCTAGAGTGTTAGGGACATTTTTATATTTCTGCATAATTTAGTGCTTCCTTGCAGAATTGTTTTTGAAATGCTGGCTTCAATTGTAGTAATCTCAAAAGTAACAGGGCTTGAGATTATTCCTATTTTCACAAATTTAAACATTTTTGATATGTTTTTAAGGCACTTTGACTTAGTGAATTTGATAAAAAAATGTGTATGAATGTTGTTATGGTTACAGTTATTCTATTGAAGTTGCTAGACCATATATGAATGGGGCAGGGGCATCGTTAGTGCTCTGCTTGATCTTGATGGATTTTAAGCAGATTTGGTGATACTTATCGGATTTGTAAAAAGTCATTTGTCCCCATACGTGAAGGGAAAAAGTCATTTTGACTTGACATTCTCTTAAACCACTTGATGGATTTTATCTAAATTTAGTAGTAGTAGTAGTGTTGATTTATTGATAGTGAATGGTACAATGAGACACACTTTAGATAAATTTAGAAGAGAAAATATTTAGGCATAAAAAAACCAAATAAGAAGTGAGATATATTAGTGCTGGGTAAACAGGGCTAAAAATTTGTCATTTTTTGCGAGAATCTAAGAGGATTCTCATGTATGCAATCTGCGTGAATCCTTCCAATCTTACTTAACAATACGGTCTAAAAAACAAAATTGTGTTTATTGTATTAATCTAAAACACCAAAATACAACAATGTCAATATCCTAAAAATTCAAATGATAATTGCACAAAGTATTATAATTAAGGAATATAGTTTATGTCCACACAAGGGGGGTTGGATGGCTGAATGGTTAGCGTGTGCGCGCTGTATCATAAAGTCTGTCATTGAGTCGACTGGCGTGGTTTCAAATCCCCGGTTGTACGTAGCAAGGAGTAGGGTTGACTGTCCAACCTCGTGGGTTTTCTCTGGGTCCTCCGGTTTCCTCCCACTGCTAAAGACCCCTACGTGCAAGCGAATTATGTAAATAAAATTAAACCATATGTTAGTCCCGAAATTACCTAGTTTGTGCCGAGTGGACGTTAAACCCCATTTCTCTCTTTATGTCCACACAAACAAAAGTGAAAAAAAAAACAACAAGTGACCGACTTTGACAGAATAGAATTGGAATGACCCAATTTAACCCCATTATATTGATGTGGAACTACATGTAGCAGAATCAAATCGCTCGAAAAGATAAAATGGAACCCAAAATTATTTGGTTTCAAGGCTGACCTACTAAAGCAGTTTCTTTTAAATATTATTTAATAGGGATTAAAATAAACGGTCTACTTCTACAAGACACCGTGACGTGATCAGGGAATTTTCCATACAATTCATTACATAACATAAACACACAAGCCATAGACAATGGCCAGTCAAAAACTCGTCAAAATTATAAGTAAAACAAATACACAACAAATATTTTATTTTATTATACATGTAGTATTCTATAAAGTACCGGTAAGTCATACAAATTTGAGTCAGAACACCCTAACTGACATTCAATAGTCAGTTTCGACAATTCTCCGAGGTTTTTTTTTTATTATTTTTTACAGATTTTTTACACGAATCCTTGTAGATTCGCAGCGTAAGCCATTGCGAGAATCCTTGCACGAATTAGATTCAGAGATTCGCGTGAATTTCTAGCCCTGTTAAAATATTGATGTAATTCGATGGTATCAGTTAGACGTGCCAGAAAAGCACTATCAATAGCAGTGTGGTACTATCGATTATCATTCTTAGTCTATTTTTCGTGCGTAGGAGTTGATGTTTTTGTGTCAATTAAGCTAATTTTATCATCTAATTGTAACTACATGTATGGTATGGATTGCTCGGATGACTTAACAAATGTTGTTGTATGTTGTCTTGCCTGGCAACCCATCTTTCTTCTAATTAAGTTTCTAATGTCTAATTTTTCTTCTAACTAAATTTCTAACATCTATATTCTAACCATCATTACTAACTGACTAAAGTATATGTCTGATATTGTTGTTGTTTAACTAATGTTCTAATGTTAACCATGTTTATTTTTTTTCTTAGCTTCTCCATCTTCTGTATCTGCTACTTCTCTCTCTGTTAAAACAACATCTAGTAAGTAATCAGCTGAAATCCATAAAATTCAAATTTTTTTCGTACACAGAGGCAAAACGGAAAAAAACGATGATTTGAATTTTTTTAAATGTGTAAACTTGTTGTAATCAGCCAGTATTAAAGAGGTACTATCACTCTGTTAAGATATTATTTTTGGCTTAGAAATGATTTGATGGTACAGTTTAATCAATATTAACAAATTATATTCTGTGCAAGGTTTGAGACAAATTAAGTTCAGATTTTGAGTCATGTTTGTAAATTTGTATTGAATTTGTAAAGATTTGAAACTTTTCAAGGAGGGCATATGAAAACCCTTCAATATACATGTACATTGCTCTATATATACATGTAAATAATATCGAAGGTATATTACTATAAGACCAAAAGAACACAACTTGAAAATTGGGTTTGGATTTTTTTATTCAAAAAAGTCAAAGGTTTTTGTGATTATTATATAGAATGAATTACATCTATTGTGGGGAAAGTGATAATGCATCTTTAAAGCAGTTTAACCTCAGTTTCAGTTTATATATAAAATGTGATTTCATTTGAAGAACTCAACAGGAATCTTAAGTTTGGTGCAGCAAAATTTTGTGGATTAATAAATGTGCTTGCTTAGTACTAGTAGTAATGCTTTATGTGCGAAGCTTTTACAGTGAATAGTTTGTCCTTTTTATATGCCCACATTTCATTTTTTGTTAGCCCCATGTGCACAATTTTTGTAAACACTCTAGAAGTTAAGACTTTGGGGTTTTAAAAAAAAAGAAAAATTTATTGGGTTCTACACATAGTTCTAATCTTAAAACTAAACCTTATAAACATTCTACATTTGAGGTTTTGAGATTATTGTTTTTCAAATTTGCTGGGATTGTTTGGCTAGTTATCGTGAAGAACCCTTAAATTATTGGTCATGTAAATGCCGAACAGGTGAGACCTATGGAGATGTTTTGGAAACTTGCAGGAATTGTTTGTATAGTCTGAAGGACTAATCCTCTTAAAATTCAGAATCATGCAATGACTTTTTAAAGAATCACTGCCTAGGTCACTGAAAATTTGTAAAGGCTAGACAGGGAAGAGATTAAACTTGACCGTATTCGAATAACTTTGTTAGTTAAAGAGAAGCATGTTCATGTATAAGTGTTACTGAAGCAAAAAAAAATGTTATTCAGTATGAGCAGAGGAGGTCTTTTTGATAAGCTGATAGATGCATTGTATAAGAACTGAATCTGCCTATTGCAGATCTTTTTTCTGGCTTCAAATATAGATTATTATTTAGTCATTTATATGACAATTGCTAAGCCTATAAAACTCTTTGGATGGCCTAGATTTAAATGGATTAGAACACCAGCAAGAATTAAAAATTTAATGATAAAATGGATAATGGGGACTTTGTCTAAATTTTCAAGTACTGTCAATTGCTACAATATTAAACAATCTGCACTACATTTTTGAATATATTCATTCTTCATTATCTATTTTTGAACTATTGTAGTTCTTTATCTATACTTACATGTTAATCACTTAATGATTATAAAGTAAAAAGAATTTTTTATGGACAAAAGTAGACCATACATTGTAGCTTGTAAAATGAAAGCGTGTTTTTAGCTCCTCAGCCATTGGTTCAAAGGGCTTATGTTATTCCAGACACGTTGAGCAGAGCAGCTTATTATATCCTATATTTATCATATTAATTCTGCAATAAGATATTGCTTAAATCCATTTTCAAAAATCTTCTAAGAACCATTTAATGAGATTTTAATTTGATTTCATCATGGTATTGCAAGCACAGAAGTTCAAGCTGAATACTACAAATATACACTAATGTAGAAATGACACATTGCTACTTTAAAGGAGCATTTTGTATGATTAGATATAGAGATGACAGTTATTGCTATAATAATAGTTAAAAAATAGATAATGAAAAGGGAATATATTGAAAATTTCAGTCAATTTACTTCAGTCTACGCCAAGTTATCGTCGTTAGAAGAACAGAGTAGCCTCGATTGTCATTGCTACCATTATTAAGATAATAAAGTCTCGATTTCATCCATTTTTAAATTTAATCATTAAAATGCTGAACCATTCTAATGTACTTAGATTCAAGCCCATCCGATAGCATCACAAGTTGATTATAGTCTTGTCATGTTAATTAATATCTAATTAATAATTTACATAACATTTAAGGTCCAAAGAAAGACCTGCAATAGGCAGATTTAGCTCTTGCATGTTTAAATTTGCTATCAAATACCTGTAGTTAGTTACTGTAGGAGATTGTTTTTTGCATTGTTAAATTTAAAGATGCATGTAGTTTTAGAAATTATATAAGAAATTTTGTAAATCATTTAATAACTAGACATTCATATTCATCTTAATATAATTTAGAGCATCCTATTGTACTTTATAATAGCTGGATGATGAAGATCTTTAGGCTTCTAGTATTAATTAGCATGCTTTCAGATTTGTGGCATGCTGTAGAACAAGTAGTTTTATTTACAAATGTACATATTTTTGTCAAAAACCTGATGTTCTGTGTACACTTGGTAGTACATATAGCTAATACACATGCAGTGGAGTGGGCAGAAATTAACTATCATAGCGCCATTAGCAGCATTTCAAATAGAAAACAGAAAGTAATAACAAGTACTGGTCGTAAGTACATGTACATTATGTTCGTTTTAAAACACTCTTGATGCCTTTTTTGATGAGTGGTTTTCCATCAATGAAAAGGGACCAGTAGTGTTTATGAATATATTTGTATATGTACAGTACATGTAATAGGTTGGTGAATGTTCTTTCAGGTTTAATCATATTTTATTAGCAAATTAATAGAATATGCAAAAGTATTAGAACAATTTGTTTGATATCCCTGCCATATTAGATAGAGTGTATTATGCTGGCCTGGTATTAGAATGGTATTGATTAGTTTATAAGGCATAAGGTGTAAGTTTGTTGCTCAATATGGATCAAAGAAGCTGCATTTTAGAATTATACTGTAGCTAAGTACATTTAAGTATGGTACTAGAATGTCATTTGCAGTTTTGAAATAGCCCTTAGTGTACATGTACCTTGCAATGGCTTACTAATTGTATTACCGTATTAGATTTGGGTTGCTTTTTATGTTCTTGGGACTTAAATTTGCCATGATATTCTGGCAATACTGAAGCGTACTTGAACAAAAAACACTACTGTATATATAGGATGTAATTTTTGATACAGTTTTACATTTAATAAAGATTATGGTAGAAATTTAAAAGCATAACTAAATTGCATTTTGATTTCAACTGTGGATGGTTTACTACAATTTATCTTTGTGGTACATATTTATAAATTATAGCTTGACATAATATTCATTGATGCAGCATTAAATGTTAAAGACAGAGTTCTTGTATACTCTTGGCTTACTTTATTGACTTTTTAAAAACTTTTAATGCTATAAATCAATTCAAAGGGCTTTAATTCCACTATCAAATAAGTCTGTCAATAGCTACACATACATTCTGCACATATAGATAGATGTAAGAACAAAGTTATGTTTGGTTATTTAAAGATGCATTATGTAAGAGTTATATCTGCCTATTGCAAGTCTTTTTTTTGGCTTCAAATGTTGTGTAAACTATTATTTAGACATTTATTCACTTGATAAAATGGATAATCAAGACTTAGACTTGATTGTCAAGTAGAGTAGGTACGATACATCTTGTTAAAACTTCAAACACTGATAACTTTGCCCAGAATAAGGTAATTTGAATAAAATTTTCAATATAATATATTGATTTTTTATTATATATTTTTGAAATATTATAGCAAGAACAGCCAGCTCTTTATCTAAAACCTACATAATGCATCTTTAATGAAGTATCAATTATTTCAACATTTATATTCATATACAATTTTCAGGTGCATCTAAAATGAAAGACCCTTCAGGTAAGAAAAACTGTATAATGGAGGGTTGATCTTTGCAATGGAGTAACTATTGGATAACTGATTGTTCAGAAATTATACATAATTTCAAGGTGTACATGTATGTCCTTTAAGAACTTAAATCTTGACCTTAAGTTGATAAAATAAAGAAAAAAAAATGTGATATACACACTGTCATAAATAATAAGTGATTTTGTTAAATTATTTCCTATCAATTTACAGGTAGTTCTAAAAGTAAGGATTCCTCAAGTAAGTATGCTATCCAAGCATGCAAATCAGCTTCCGTGAAAGATGTACTATAAATAAAGATGTGATATAAAATAATTTATTAAAGCTAGTTTTATATAGAGAGTAATGGTGTTGTAAGCTTTTCAAATATCATACAAATGTAGCAGTAATAAAACCCATCAACAAATGCCCAGTTGTTGCTGCATGTATTTTCGTTGTGTAGCTTAGTGAAATTTGATGAAACCTACTGGTACAAAGAAAATAGTCCACTTATTTCTATATATTCTAACAATAAATAGATAACAATAACAGCTACTCAAATCATTATTTGAAAGAAGATGGTCCACCTATTTCTATATTCCTACAAGTACAATCAATAGATAACAGTGAAAGCTACCAAATCATTATTTGAAACAAGATGGTCCATCTATTTCTATATTCTAGCAATAAATAGATAACAATGACCGCTACTTAAATCATTAATTAAAAGGAGATGATCCACCTTGATAATGATGACAGCCACTGGAATCAATATTTGAAAGAAGATGGTCCACAATTTTCACCAATTTATGTATTGTATTTCCACAACATTTTGGCATTTGACTTATTTCCAAGACTATGAAAACTGGGACTGCTCCATTTAAGTCTATAAAATACCATGAAATATATACCATCGAAACTTATAGATAAAAGATTAATACTGGGCGGATGTTAAAATGGGTTATCTACAAGTAGGAGAATAAAAATAAAATTGTGCTGTATTTGTCAATCTTAACATGAATAGAATGAAAACATTCTATAAATCATTATCAGTTATGGATTTATTTAGTCAAAATTGTTTATCTGTAAAATTCAATTATCAAATGATCTTTTGAACTTATGTATAAGAAATAATGGTCTTTTTTGAGTTCATGTATTATCTTGGTTTAATATATTTTAAATTCAAATCAAGGTTGTTTAATAAAAATAACTCCCAAGTCAGCTGACAGACATGCATGTTTCTTAGCCTGCTTATGTTATCACTTTTGTCTGGTGGTCGAGTGGTCTAACATGCGCTTTATATCATAAGGTCTGTCATTGTGTCAAGTTGTGTCATGGAGCTGGGTTGCTGACCCAACCATGTGAGTTTTCTCTGTGTCCTCCGTTTTCCTCCCACTGCTAAACCCCTACATGTATGTGCTTTCTCTCTCATCACTTCTGTCCATTCGCATCAGCCAGAATAAACAGTTAATCATTTCTGGCTTTTGTAAGTACATGTACTTGAATCTAGAAGGGCTAGGCAAGGACACCTTTAGTGTGAAAATTTATATTCCTATATTATCACTAAACAAATCCCGCATACTCTTAAAACATGGAATTCTTTATAAAATTATCAATTACTATACTTCTGTCAAACTATTCAAACATGCATCAAAAAGGGTCTATACTCCTATTGGGACTCTATATCCGTTAAAAATGATGGTATTTTCAGCTAAATTATGACATGAATGAAGTCAGGTTTACTCTTCTGCACTTAGCAGGCTGATGAAGTTGGGAGTTATGAACTTTTATCAATATTCAGACAACTGGAAAGAAACCAGTCTAGGTTCATCTTTGTTCCAGGACTACATGCTAAGTTCCATTGTATCCAGGAAGAACCACCTTATGGAATGCAACTGTATCTAAATAAAGAAATTGCTATATTAGGTTATCTCTCAATTATAAAAAAAAACGGGGTTGTTGATGTTATACTAATCTATAGGTAGATTGTCTACATGATCACTGCATGGCCATGCTATTTGTTTGGTGTGTTTATTGATGACATAATTGAATTGTATAATTAGCTTAATTTTATATATTATTTTGATCAAAATAATCATATAGATAGATAATTATTGCATTATTTACAAAGCATGGCTTTCACTTAAGATTACTTCAAATTGGCAAGATAATTTTTCCAAAGAATATGACCATTTTTAGCATTTTCCCAACTTTAAATATATGTTTTATGGTTTTTAAGTACATAAATATGGCCTTTTTGACTAAAAGTTATGGTTGTTTTGTTTCAAGGCCATTTCATCTATAATAAAAAAAATATGAAAAAGCCAGCTTCACCTATAAATCTTTTATGGGGATCAATTTTTTTTAAATGATTAAATTCAAGCCAAGAGATTATCTACCATTGATTTTGTTTTCTTTTAAATGTTAAATATGCGTAGAAAATTAGATATTGTCTAAATGTTATGGAAAAAACTGATCAGCCATCATTGTGCTCTGCCTTTTTTTTCTGTACTTAATAGAGTTATGCAGATACAGTCTTGAAACTTGATTTAGTAAATTTATTTAATTATAATTTAAATGATAATTACATAATGTAGCAACAAAAAAAAAACTCACCTAAAGACCAGAAGTAAATAAATAATGTGCAAACAGGAAAGGGTTCAATGGTGGCCCACAATCTTAAACCGAATGCGTCCGGGCTACTTGCTTTTCTAATTCTTCACATATGTACATATATTGAAATTTGAAAACAGGAATTTCAAAAAGCATCCTATTTGTAGGGCATTATGTGATGTATTAATTACATAAAGAATTAAAATGACTTTTCAGGTAGCTCTAAAAACAAGGAGAATTCTTCTAGTAAGTATCGCTAGAAACAGCAGCATGATGGGAAGGTTCATATAGAACTTTTTTGACATGGTATAATCCTGTACAAGTAGATAGATACATGTAGATTGTCTCGCTTGGTCAAGGCTTAAGATATTTGTTTATTTATTGCAGAACCTGTTTGCAGTTTTCTTATTCTTGACTACCTGGTTTATCATTTGCTGTCGTTATTGGTAGCCATTTCTATAGGGCTTGCACAATAGACTGATGCTGGCACATGGTAAACCATTTGTCAGAATTGAAGTTAGCAGTGCCCTATTTTATAGCCTTTGCTGGGAAAGAAAGGATGGAGATAGAATGACATGTATGATTGTTTTGTTGTGTGTGATTGAAAACTTTGAGAGGGCTTATCAATGTAGCATGATTAAACGTTTGTAATTAAAAAGTAAACTACATTTAACAAATATATATTCATTTTCCGACTTGTTCTATGAGTATGCAGTACAAAACCAAGTTAGGATTAGGATCTACTTCTACTTTAGGCAACACAAACCACTGCTATGGAAAACAAACGAAATCAGGATTAGATTACAGAAGTTGTAAGTCTTGTTTGACTTCAAGGAAAATTTAAATCATTCTAAAAGACAATATACCTATAAAGTATTGGGCCATATAAAAAACATATTCTGATTCTCAGATAATCCTATTACCTTTTAAGCAAGCTACTTGTAACTTCCTGTGAATGACAAGATTGTAAAAAAGTGTAAATTATCACCATTTGCAATACTTGCACGCCACATTTTATCTCATTCTAATACTTGTACCAATTAAATTCAGTCTAAATAGCATAACTTCCCTTGTGGTCATATCAACTTCCATCAAAAGCGTGGCCTTGTTACTTTAAAATGACTTCATTTGGCATGTTATGTTATGAAATAGTACTTTGTTAAAAATAAGTTTTTGTGGATTTTATTGTCCCCCTCCTTTTGAAGAAAGCAGGGAACTATTAAAATTGGTCTGTTTGTCCTTTTGTCTGTCCGTCACATTTTTTGTGATACAATATAACTCTTCTTCGAATTGAGCTAGAATGTTCATAATTGGTGTAGGTGTTTATTAGGTGAATGCCTTGACAGTTTTCCGTCTTGTGCATTTTCCACGAAGGCTAAGCAGAGATTAGCAATTTGATTGGTTGAGACTTTGAAACATAATAACTTTGGTTCTAATTGATGGAGAGTGATAAAACTTGGTGTATAGTTTCACTACCAAGTACTTCAAAACCACGATCGTGAACATTTTCTGCTAAGACTAAGAAGATAATCAGTTTGTTTGCTTGATACTTTTCAAAAAGATAAATATGCAATTTATTAGTACATTGTATGTGTCATCTATTTTTGGGGGGATTTCGTCGAAGAACATCGGCCTCACTATTGACTCGTTTGAATCTAATAGAGCTTCAATTCAAAGTTGAAAACTGTAATCATTTTACTCCTATGAATTCTATGGTCAATTCATAACTTAAAATCAATTGTTGTTTCGTTAAGCTATCTGATTTATATGTTTATTATTTTGATTAATATTATGGCCTATTACAATAATTTCAAGCTACATGTATGTTTAAATAAGGTCAATTGCAAAGTTTTCTGGCTTTGTATATATGTTGTGTACGCTTATATTTATTTATTTTTTTTCATTTCTTATTGTAGCAACAGCTTGGAGTCAATGTCCAAATAATTTAATTTTTAATTTCAAAACATTTGATATTTAATGTAGTTTAATTTAATTATTTGATTATTTGTCTGCTACCAAGTAGTGTGTATATTCCACTATATTAAATTCCCCCACTTTGAAGTAGTCAGCAGATATATATAGCGGTCCATCCATATGACCGTCTGTCAGTCAATTATTATCATTCACAAACTTTTGCAACTAGTAACTAATTTTTGATACAGTTGATGTGTTGGTCAAGCTAAGCATGTGTTGGCATATAATATATTGTATTTAGAATTTATATGCTCTATGAAAACATGTATGATCTGACCTAATACAATAATACAAAAGAGAAATATGGCCATTGAATAAAACAATATTGGTGATTCATGGAAAATATTGGGTGGTTTTTATTGTTATCTATATAAATTAAATCAAAGTGTGTATGTTATGTGTGTACATGTATGTTTGCCCATCACACTTTGTTGCCATGATCCGCCCATGAATGTTTTAGGCCACCGAATTTGGGTCCCGGCAAATTTGGGCCCTGGACAAATTGGGCACCTTAGCCTATGTAAAATATAAATTGTAGTATTTGCTGTCCTGGCAAAAAACGATCATATTCAATCATCAAGTGTTACTAAGACAAAACAAGCCTTACTGTACAAGTATGTGCTGTGTAAATTGCAGGGCTGTAACTAGCTCAGAGCAACTAGGGGGGCGGGAATTGTTCTTAGGGGTGCTATAAAATTGACAGACAATGTATATCTTTTGTTTTTATTGTCGACAATTTTTTCACGGGGAGGACCGAAACTTTTTCCAGGCCCCCCCCACCCCTAGTTACGGGCCTGGTAAATTGATGGAGAAAAATACATCCTGGTCTCTTAATGTAATGAAGTGTCATCAGATACAGTTTTTAATTTGTTAAATCATTGTTTATTTATAGCTGATGTGTTTTCTAGGTATGGCACGACCAGGTATGTCACCAGGAATGCCCCCTCCACCTCCAGGAATGGGAACACCAATGGACAGAAAAAGGGGTCCAGATCCAAGATCAGCACAGCAACAGCAATTGAAAGCGTAATAATTATTTTCTTATCTGAAAAGAAAACTTTAAACTCGTATAATATATATTGTATGCGTATAAAACATGGACCCCCAAATATCCCCCCCCCTCCAATTTTCCAAACATTTAAGAATGACTAGGGTGTCTGTCTCCTTTCTAGGTTTGTATGTAGATGGGCACAGTCAGTGTTTTAATTTTGTTTGGGCAAAATTGGATTGATAGAGCTGCAGACGTACGCTCTTTATGAAATGGATTCTTGTCTTAAAATTAGTTGTATCTTTTAAATAAAATGAAATGAAATGGGGTTAAACTTCCTACTTTTCTGAACCAAATGGGTTATGAAGGCTGGTCTTTTAAATCGACTGAACCAAATGGGTTATGAAGGCTGGTCTTTTAAATCGATTTAGCTTACCGGCATTTTACTTTTGTATTTTTATAGGAAGAAGAAGAAAAAGATTGCTGACAAAATCTTGCCACAGAGGGTATGTATCAAAACGTAGAGAATATTTCTCTGTATTATACTTTGTATTACAATTTTGTTAATAATGCTAACTTTTATACTATTGAGAAGCTGGAATGAATTTGAGAGACCTTGGTTCAAGCATGTTCATATTTGACCCCCACCTCCCACCTAAAAAAAAAAACCCTGTTTGTTACTGAAGATAATCAAATTATAATAATATTAGGGTATTTTTTTGTCAATGTGAAAGTGTTAGCTTTATTTTTTTCTTGTAAGGTATATTTGATGCATCCTGTGGAATGTCTGAGCGTCACAAAGCAATGAGAAAAAGAAAAAAAGAGTTCATGTTGTGTTATTTCAACCTTATTCATTTATTCACAAAAATATACAAACAAAATTGCTAAACAGACTCGGATCACACATTTGAGTGTAATGTGAAAGTTTGAGTTATATCTTTTACACAGACTCTGATCACACTTTTTAATCTCTTTATATCGTGGATTCCACATGTGTGGCTTATTTGGGGAGTATAAATTTCACTAAAGGAAACATTATCTATTTTAGGTGCGCGATTTAGTTCCAGAATCCCAAGCTTACATGGATCTCTTGGCATTTGAACGTAAACTTGATGCGACTATAATGAGAAAAAGATTGGACATTCAAGAAGCTTTAAAACGACCAATGAAACAGAAAAGGAAATTGAGAATTTTTATCTCCAATACATTTTACCCACCAAAGCCAGAAGGAGAGGTATGACTAGGAATTTACCTAGACTTTCTTATTCTATATGTGCTATTGGCTATTATATAGGCGACCCACATTTAATGTGGACATGAACTGTTGTCATCTTTGTCTATCTGCTGGTCAAGGTAACTTCAGAAAGTCTCCCTACTTTGGTTCAGACTTTTGAAATCTTGTGAACAGGAGAGAGTTTCTCACTGAAATTGTTGATAGAACCCTGTCAAATTTCAAAATGCAATCCAGTCAGAATTTTCTATGAAATTGTTCAATTGAAGCAAACACAGTTTTGAAATTTGTAGGCATTGATTTTAGAGCGACTTTGCTACTGGGTGAGTGTGACAAGCCTCTGTCTATGTGATTATATGTGATGATTTGTGATGAATTGTGTTTGTATGTGATGGTCTGTGATCCTTTGTGACAATTGGTAGAGCTAAACCTCTTTATTTACCTCTCACTGCTACACAAGTGATTTAGCTATAGATCCTACCATATTGTGATCACATTCGGTATAATGTTTGTTTCCATATTCCATCTCATAAAAAAGTTGAGTCTGGTTGATCCCCACTCTACTAACCAACTTTCGTTTCTGACTGTTATCTTGGGTGAAAACAAATCAATATTTATTCTTTAATGTAGGATGGAGAAGAGTCAATACCATCTTGGGAACTTCGTGTTGAAGGCAGACTACTGGAAGATGTAAGGATTGTTTTTAATACAACTTTGTGTAAAGCCAAATTTACACATCAAGTATTCATTATCTAAGGGCATATAAAAAACATTGTCTAAGAACCAGATTATTTATATTTTTTTTGGTATGGCCTAACACAACATATTTAAAGTTAAATATTACATATTTATTTTTTAAAACCCACTGTCTACTTAACTCTTGATCCTGCTTCTGTGGCAATGGAGAAGGTTTCTCAAGAATATAAATTAATGCTGCACTCAAAGAGGAACAATATATATAGACTAATAAAACTGTGTGCTAAAAAAATTGGAAAAACGAAAGTTGTTACCATTCACGACATTTATAAGCCATAATTTACCTCTAACATGTAAATATTAAAATGACTGTCAATGTAAATAAAATTACTTACTTCCTTCCGTTGTGGTCAGGTAAATAGAGATATTTTGATCTCTTCTAATGGTAAAATGACTTTACTTTCATGACTTTTTATCGGATAGTACATGTAATTTGGACAGTAAATAAACAAAAGAATCGCTAAGCCAATTATGGCTTTGAAGTTAAAATTACTCAATAATCATATAGTACAGTGTAAAAAGTAATATTTGAACTCTGTTAGTGAAATATCTTTTGAAAATTTATGATTTTATAAATTTAAATTTCAGGCTGCGACTGCCAAGTTGAGTGATGCCAACAAGATAAAGAGAAAGTTTTCATCTTTCTTTAAGTCTTTAGTAATCGAGTTAGATAAAGATCTGTATGGTCCAGACAACCATCTTGTTGAGGTTTGTCAATATTTACTTTACTAATATTTTGGTTTCATTTAAGATTTCAACTTGTTATATGATTATGCATATCCTTGATATATGTAAGCTTACCTTTAAAGCAGCATACTGTCAAATTCTATTGAGATGGGTTTTCCATTTTATCGCTATGTTGATATTGGTACCAGTACATCGCAATCTGGAAAAATAAATGTCAGTAAAAAAAACCCAGTTAACACTATGTTGTGCTCCTGTAAGTTGTCACTTTTAGGAGAAATTTAAAAAAGTGTAATGGATGCTATTGTTAACTAAAGATAGTAGTTGTTTGTGATTTGACTATAGAATAGAAAGAGGGTTGTTAACTTGAAGTTGAGTTTTAATTAAAGCTATTGGTGTGCACGTAAAAGATCCCTTGGCAGTTGAAATCTGATATAAGAGTAGTCCATAGCATTGCTGTCTGGGCAAATACCCCTCATGCTCATAGCACACTTTATGGCGTATGTCCGTCTTCATTAGCCCGGCCGGAGCAGAACAATGGGACGTTAAACCCAATTTCATTTCATTTTATTTAAATAAAGATAATAATCATCATTTGCCCTTTTTGAAAATATTTATTTCTCATGGGTTAATCCAAGCTAAAATATTCTCAAATTGATTACCTAAGATTTAATTAAGAAAACAATACCAAAATATCAATGGTACATAATCTCCCAGCATGGATTCAGTTGGATTAAAAAGAGGCCCATCATAAGATTTTACCCAACATATTTGTTGTCTGCAGAATGTTAGAAATTTTTAATTCATCATATTCATATCTTTGTGAATACTGAACGGAATTGAATCATTTTTGAACTGATATTCCTTTTAGAGATTGAACTTTCAAATGACGATCAACGGTTTTAAGTAATGTTCGATAAAATAGATTAATATAAATAAATGAATATTTTCTTCTAGTGGCATCGTATTCCTAATACACAAGAGACAGATGGTTTTCAAGTTAAAAGACCAGGTGATAACAATGTAAAATGCACTGTTTTACTTATGTTGGATTATCAGGTAAGAGTTATATCTGTTTTACTTATGTTGGATTATCAGGTAAGCTACCTCCCACTTCAATGTTTCCTGTATTTTGTTGATGATATATTGATAGAATTATCTGTATGTTTCTCAGACAGTGCTGCCCCTAATAAATACTGCCACATGCTCCACTCTATTGACATTAAGAAGAAAACAATTCAAAAATACAGTTTTCTAGGTGGCCTCAGATTTAATGTTTTGGTTGATTTTGCCCATTGGAAATTGTAATTGTGGTGTTTTAAGGTGACCGTCTTTAAAATTTTTTAGCTGGTCGGTTTCATTTCCCTCAGTTGGGACTTGTGAATATTACTGAGCAGAGAGCTTATTTTTTTTGTATGTATAGGCTAGGTGTGAATAGCTGGTCAAATTTACATCTTGATGTGCCTCCTTAAAAATTTTATTCTTGAAAATAATTTCTCAGACATTTGACTACATAGTGTCATTATTGTACTGTACTTTTTTCAGCCAATGCAGTTTAAACTGGATCCTCGGCTTGCTCGTCTGCTAGGTATTCATACACAGACGCGACCAGTAATTATCAATGCTTTATGGCAGTACATCAAAACACACAAACTACAGGATTCTAATGAACGGGAATACATCAACTGTGACAAGTATCTTGAACAGGTGAGTAAAAACGATTGATGTGAAGAGTTGTCTCCCATTTAGTCTTCTGATTAAAATCAAGGGACACCAGTCGATAGCTTCTTTCTGATGCGTGGTATTCCTTTCCATAACATTTGTGATGTAAGCAAATGGGAGCTACAAATTTATGGCCAGGGATTATAATGACCTTATAAAATAACATGTTGCCTGAAACAAGGTACAGTTTTTTAATATTTTATTCATGAATTTAAGACCTTTTAAAAGAGGTTGGTGGCCTTTAAATCAAATAAACTTTATTATAGTTATCTCACTTTAGTCTTCAGATTCTATTTGTATTTAAGTAATAAAAACTCTAAGAGTATGAAGATTATAGAAAATACTAATTATTTTTTTGTCTTAATTTTTAGATATTTGAATGTAAGAGAATGAAGTTTGCTGAGATTCCAGCCAAATTACATCCATTAATGATGCCACCAGATCCGATCGTTATTAATCATCTTATCACGTAATTTATTTTTATCAAACTTTGTTGGTATCAGAGACATAAAAATAAGAATTTTCCCTTTTCTATCCCTATAAAGCCCAACTTCTCAAGACAATGGCTAAAACTGCCACATTTTAGATAGGATAATTTCGTGTACTCTTGCAATGATTCTAAATGCATATTTTCTTTACATAATAATGCAAATTAAAATGACCTAGTAAAAACTCACCAAGTGCAATGTAAAGTTCATTTTTCGGGCACTGGCTCGCTAGTCTGGAGGTCGGGTGTTCGATCCCTGCATTGTGCATTGGCCGAGAAAGTTCATCAGGATTTTCCAACATGGTTTCCCCTTGTCAGAGGTGCAGAGCGGTGGGCCTGACAAGAACAGCTGTCAAGTCATTTGTTTGGAACAATAAACTTAGATCCCGTGTATAAATTGGCATGCATGTAAAATATCCCTTGGTAGTTGAAATTCTATATAAGAGTAGGCCACTGTAAGACATATGCCTGTCTTCATTATCCTAGTTGGAGCAGAACAGTAGGATGTTAAACCCTGTTTCATTTCATTTTTTCAGGCCCATTTTCCCCAGATTTTCTGAATCCATAAACGCGTATTCATCCTGATGACTTTTCATGCAACTGACTCTACTATAGTTAGTAGTTTAAGTTCTACTTTGCTGTTTATATTTCTATTATTTTGAAGTCGGGGGTTCTTCCATTTAATTGCTTGTTCATAGGACTCAATCAGGCTAGTGACTGTGATATTTATGTTGCTGTATTTTATTGCTTCATCGTATTGTCATCTGTGTACATTTCAGTGTAGAAGGACCAGATGCTAAGAAGACAGCTTGTTATGATATAGATGTTGAAGTGGTGAGATCATTACGTCAATTACAAATTGTCTTTTTAGAAAACTCTTTCAGTCTTTTGCACCTATGAACATAAAGATTGTATTACTATAGTAATAAACTCCTTACAATTATTTAGATGTTTGAAAAAAACTATAGAATGAACTAGATTTACTCAATATTTGTATTTTGAACTACAGTTTAGGAGTGAGTGTTGTTTTTTTGTCATGATTACATTGAAACACAATAATGATGTATTTTACAGGATGATACATTAAAACAACAGATGAATTCTTTCCTGTTATCTACCCAGAGTCAACAAGAGATATCTAATCTAGATAACAAGGTGAGATAACAATTACTGCAACACTTCATTCTGTCCTAGAGAAATGTCTAAATCATTTTACTTGTTCTAATTAAAATCTATCTTTAGAAATTCATTTTGACAGTCATTTGATTCATTCTACTGTCCCCTCAAAATTTAGCTTAAATCTTAAACTATAAATCAAACAACCTTTATCTATTAAAAAAATACATTTATATTCACTCCACTTTTCTCAAATCCAACATAACGAAAAAATATAATTATAATTTTTTAATTCCACACAAAAATAACATTCACAGTCTAAAAGAAATTTTTATATGGATGATAAATGAATTAAATTTAAAAGTTGTGGATTTCATAGCTAATACTGTAAAGTTATGCCAGTAGGTTGGGTTTTAAATCATCAATTTTAATTCATGGTTATTCTAGGAAGTAAGATTTATTATCTTACAGAAGGAAGTGTTGTGGGAATTTTTACATAAATTGTAGAGTCTGCTGCTTAATTGTAGCACCGCTGTCCAGACAAAATTTCCTTCATAGCACACTGTATGGCATATGCCTCTATTCATTAGCCTAGTCGGAGCAAAATAGTAGCACATTAAATCCCATTTTATTTCATACTGCTGCTTAATTGTTTTTATTTCATAATTAATTATATATCAAGAAAGTTTGGTTAAATTACAATAATTACTTTCTGAGTATTTATCAATTCAAAGAAGTAGATATTTTTCTAGATAACAAATTATCCCTGAATGTAAACGAAACATATTTCATAAATATATTTACAAATAAAAGATACTAATTAATTGCTTAAAGCCTTACCGTATGCTAAGGATACACATAATACACTTTGAAGCAAGATAATTGGCATTGCATGCACATGTATGGCATTTTGATTCCTTAATGCATGAGGCCCTGACCTATTTTGATCTAATTCCCTCTATGTTTTATATTGTTGGTCTAGCCGAAAGGAAAAGATCCAGCACTTACTCGAGTTATCACTCATGATTTTACTGTAAGTGTAATATGTAACATGAAATAAATCATTGATCTTTATATAACATGAATTAAACATATACCAGATACTATCAGACACATAATTCCTGTTGTAGTTCTATCCAAGCATAGATATTTAATTCTTACCAATCCATGATAAAACCATTTATGGTTGAATACAAATACTGTATTAGTGAAATGACTTAACAACGTGGTTATACTGAATCTTTTTTGCAATTAAGGTGCCATGAAGCAGCAGATCATTTAATATTTTTGTGATTTACATTGAACAAAAATAAGGATTGAATAGTGTTCTTTAGGTAGTAAATTAGACAAGAAAAATGTATGTTTGATGTCGAAAGACAATTACAAGAGAAAACAAGATGGTGACATGAACCCTAGGGAAACCCATGTGGTTAGGTTGGGATCAATCAATGGCAGACCTCACGATCTAAAGTGCATGTTTTAGGCATCTGCAAATCTAAATTCAACTGATTTTGTCCTGATAACTACCCAAACAATCCTGGAGGTTTCTCCTTATGACTAGTCAAACAAATATAAAAAAACCTCTGATTTGTAGAGAAAAAAAAACGGTATTGGTTTTATTGATGAAGTCTGTCATTGTGGTAGTTGGATAAAATAAATTGTTTTGATGAACCAAAAGGACTGTGGGCATGGCACAAATTCTAAATAGGTCACTGCATAAATGTACATTTATATCTTCAAACTACACAACTCTTAGGTGTAACCAACTGAATATTCCTGACAGAAAATCATCTCACAGTTCTAAGTATGTTGATAGAATATTGGTGTACTGAAGACAACATTTACCATGCTGTATTTGGAAATTTATCAAATTAAAGGGCTTTGGGGTAGTTAGATGACTTAATTTAAATAATATTTCCATTATATTTTTCAGATCCATGAAACTGTGGAGACCATAAATCAGTTAAAGACTAATAGAGAATTTTTCCTGGGCTTTGCTAAAGATCCACAAGATTTTATCAACAATTGGTTGATATCGCAGACAAGAGATTTAAAGGTGTGTAATTTTTTTCTTCGGTTTTCTCATCTATATTAATAAAAAATAACAACAAACCTAACAACATGAAAAGCATACTGGATATTAACACAAGATTTATAATTTTAAACATCTTCAATAGAAGGCTTGATCTCGCTTTAACTACATAAATCTTATCAAGGCCTTCACGTAATACCCTGCATATTTCGGCACTAATTTCGATTGGGTACAAGCCCAGCCTGTGAGCCTATCAGATTCCTCGATCGTTGCGAATACCAAGTCACGCGCTTTCAAGCTAAAATGTCTACCTGTGATAATCAAGTTGCAAAGTTCAAGGTGCATTCAATGTCAATGTTTCCGTTGAGGTCGCGATGTCACAACCTCTGATTGGACGCTACTGCTCATGTGTCTGTAGATAACATAGCTATAATAAGTTCGGGAATTGTGAAGTAAACAAGCAACGGCCAGGTGTTGTAAAACTCGCAGTCGTTGCTTCAGGAACATGAATTTTAAATGGATATAATCACTATTACCCAAAAATAAAATCTATTCAAAATAATCTTAGTCTCGCCATTTTATCGAAAATTGAAGAACTGACCTACTTAAAGTAGCCAAGTCTCTAACTCAATATCATCCAAAATCTTCAACATTGAAAACACGATTTATTTGTCAAATTAAATCAACATTTATGTTGTGATCTTACCGGAAAAAGATGGGCTTTTGATATCCAATATTTAAGACAAAATAAACATTTTACCATTGGTACACGAATCGTGTACCATAATGCGCTTCAGCCCCAGTTGTATCAAGAGACTCGAGGGACGAGGCTAGACACATTGCACCAAATCAAACGGCCTATGTAGACTGGAATAACCAGACGCTAGAAATTTGCACTCACTTGAGACTGCTGGCTTATTTTGTCGAACATAACTGATTTGAAATTGGAGTTAAAACGGAAACCATTGAATGTAAATCAGTTTATATACATTCATATTACAGTATTATATGCGTTGCGACCCACTTTTGTCAATTTCTAGGTCCCAAATGTTAGCGATTTAGCTCCTTTAAAGTAGGGTACCAAAAATTTGTACCTTTCATAAATTACAAGTTGAAATAATCAAGGTTGGCTTGTCAGATTGGCTTCAAATTATACAATCTAATTTGAACAGTCAGATTGAACATTATTTTTTACCGACCAATAAAATGCTATTTCCTGTAATGAAATAATGCAAGTAAATAATGAAATACATGTACATTTATACTATAGTATGCTAAAGAAAGGCAATAAACTGGGGCTTCACTATAATGTTGTTTTAAAACTAGGTAACCCAACCTCATAAAGTGCTCTATAGTGAGGTGCATTGTAGTTATTCTTACATGTCTGTTTACATATTATTTTATTAAATTTTATTTTGAATTTTTAGACAATGACAGATGTGGTAGGAAACCCAGAAGAAGAAAGAAGATCTGATTTCTTCTATCAAACATGGTCACAGGAAGCTGTGTGTCGTTACTTCTATGGAAAGGTAAATACTCGCTATATTGTACTTATAGTAACCACAGCTAGTTTGAGGATATTATTTCTGATGCATGCAGGTTATGAGATCAAGCATTTAAACTACAGATTTAATTGTAACTGAAGAAACGGAAATACTTGATTTGTATGAGATAGGAGAGGTCGGCAACTCAAATTTAACGTAATTTCAACATGTTAGGCCATATAAAAAAAATATTCTGGTTTTCATATACTGCTGTATCACCTATGAAGGACTGTAAGACCTATTGTTATTTCATCATTTATTCTTTTATGTTTCCCACATTAAAAGGAGGGAATTCTATTAAAACATTTTCATGGTTTTTTTTCATTTCCAAATATCAAGTAAACAATCCGAAAATTCCCAAATGGGATTGTACAAGCGTAATTATTCAAAAAGTCTTGTATTGAGAGAAAAATGATTGAAATCATTTGTCATAAACTAACAAACCATAATCTCATACTGCATATATGTGAACACAACCCTGCTTCTTACTAGTATTAATAGCTTATCCCAGTTTCAGATATAAAGGGGGTGGGAGGGGGATGGCCGAATGGTTAGCATATGCGTGCTGTATCATACAGCCTGTCATTGAGTCAACTGGCGTGGTTTCGAATCCCCGGTTGTACGTGACGAGGAGTAGGGTCGCCTGTCCAACCTCGTGGGTTTTCTCCGGATCCTCCGGTTTCCCCCCACTGTTAAAGACCCCTACACGCAAGCAAATTATTGAAATAAAATTAAACCATATGTTAGTCCCGAAATGACCTGGTTTGTGTCGAGTGGACGTTAAACCCCATTTCTCTCTCTCTCTTTCAGATATAAAATAGATATAAAATTTATGTATATCTCTTGATTTTTTTCTAGGTACAACAAAGAAGAGTGGAGTTAGAACAGGCATTGGGCATTAGAAATACATAAATATCATTAATCACATCATCTTGTCATAAAAGCATCCTGTTTCAAGACCATTTATTCATAAATTCTCAGGATATAATAAATGTTTGAAATACATGGTATAGCATCAAGAAAATGGGCATCCTGCTATTATGTCAAAATTAGATTTTAAAATATAATTTGAATGATGTAATTGTCAGAATTACTACAACTACAAACAAATACATTTTATTATTAAGCCACATTATTATTAAAATAAAACCTGCTGGTCATTATACGCATTTTGTTGAAAATATCTTAATTCATAGCTTAATCAGTGCTATAATGTAATCAAATTAAATAAAGTGCTTTTCAGTACATCATTTTGCAAATACTGAACGAAATTGATCCATTTTTGGACTTGGATCCATCTTTCTCAAATGACAACAGTCGTTTTAAAAATCATGTTAAATATGTCCTATTAAATGTTGGTTTCAACTCTTTATCTAGTTCGATATTAATGGGTTGTAACATCGATTTTATAGAATTAAATCACACAGTGACATATAAGTCATATTACATCTGGGCTTTATATATGTACCCATTTGATTTGAATTCTTATAATTAAATGACTAGTAAAATATTTTATGTTAATTAAAGAAATACATTGAGGTAAATGTAACTATTTCATTTATCCTAAGTAATTGTCATAGAAAATGTTAATGAATTGTAACAATTGTACATGGACAGCATAGTATGTACCTGTACTTGGTAAACATGCACCTTCGGGGTTGTTTGAAATAGTTTGGTTTCAGTTGTAACTTATCCCAGTTTATCAGTTTGTCCCTAAACAAATGTGCCTTCTCTTACAATTTTACATATCTAAACTAATCTTTGTTTGATTTTGCTTGTTTGATATCCAGCCATTTTGGAATCTGTGATATACTGCAAGACAAGAAATGAATGCATCATAAAATTGTTGTTAATAGAGGGGAATTTACCTAAATGTGTTTTGAAAGTAATACAACTGTTGTATCTTACTTTTGACTTAGAAATAGTTTATCATCAAAATTGTACTGTTTTAAGTGATATTTTGGTATACTCCTGATTTAATAAATAAATAAACATCATTTTATGTCAGAGAACAAAACTATGTATCGAAATGAATGCAACTGGAGCATTAATTTCTTATTGTACAGTAGTGCTGGGTATTGTCTCTGCAGTCACAATACGGTACGATATTGCGATTCAGGTGCTATGATATGATTCGAATCACGATTCATACCAGGTCAATATTTACCAAGAAAACAGGATAAATGAATAATTGGTATTTTTAGTCCTGCCGATGTCGAAGAAATAAAACTGTTTTATTTCATGTAGATCAAAATGTGGACCAAAACAGACTAAAAGTGTTTGTATACCTATGGATAATGTGTAACGTGGATAATTAAGAGTGATGGGTTACTTACTGAAGCGACAAAAAAAACATAAAAACAAAGTTTCACGACACATCGATTCAGCGTCCCACGATTCAATACGCGAATCGTGAGAAGGTGAATCTCAATACATCAATTCAACAATATATCATGCCAGCACTATTGTACAGTAATCACTTATTTGTGGTTCATGTTTGTTAACAGCACAATGATCTTTTGAAAAAATATCTATGTTGACAGATGGTTTCCTGGAATCAAGCTATATGTTTATATTGTAATAGCCTTACAACTCATTGGTGGACAATCAAGTTACAGTCGACTTTGTAAAACCTAATGACAGTACAGAATATTTTTTCAAAGGAAACACACTGTGTACCAGTGTATCATTTTTAGCATCAAATGAATGTAGAAATATTCATGTAAAGTAGTTTTCATATAGTTGCATGTATCAGTATCATAACATACTATTGGTCATTAAATAAATTTTTGTAAACCATCATTATGCTTTTTGTCAAGTTTATTAACATTAAGCCTGTTTCTTTTGATTTGGGGGGGGGGGGGGACTAAATAGCATACCTTTAAATCACTTTAAAAAGTGGGGGATTAAAATTAAAAGGGGCCTATGGTGCTTGATAATTTTCATGGCTTTGTTTTATATACTATTCAAAAAAAGTAGGGGATATTTGATTTTGGGGGCATAATACTAAAATATGCAAATGACTACGAAAAAAGTCAATATAGAACCTAACAGAAGAAACATTTCCAGTTACATGTGACGCCCAAACGCACCAATAGCTACCGCATGGAATGCAGGTGATGCTTGGGATCATCATGGGGGTCCAACCCAAGATTTGCACGACTCTGACTTTGAATGTTACAGTCATTGTGGCATTGAATTCCAGGGTGGAAACATCAGTTTAATTGTTTTAGTGACCAGAAAACAAATTTTGATATGCGTCGGCTTACCCAAAATGAATGGTTACGTGCCCTTGGCATGCTACAGATCGGCACAACACAGGCGGTTGTGGCGCGGACGATGAATGTTTCTCAGTCTGTCATAAGCAGGCTATGGTCCAGATACCGTGATACACAATCTGTACAGGACAGACCACGCTCAGGTCGACCAAGGGCGACAACTCAAGCCCAGGATCGATTTATCCGTACCTTGGCCTTGAGAAATCGTGTCATCACAGCAAATCAGATCAGCGCTTGTCTTCAAACAGACACTGGTGTGAGAGTGAGTGGCCAGACGATTCGGAATCGACTGCATAGGGGTCACCTTCGCGCCCGACGTCCTCGCGTGATCCCTTGTTTGAGAGATCATCACATTCAGGCAAGACGTCGTTGGTGTAGGGATCGTCAACACTGGGATAATCGACGCTGGAGCAATGTGATGTTTTCAGATGAGTCAAGGTTCACTGTTGATTTTTTGGACAGACGTAGGAGGGTGTGGTGTCGTCGAAACGAGCGCTTCCAAGACGTTAACGTCATCAGACATGATCGATTTGGGGGTGGTTCTGTTATGGTGTGGGGAGGCATCACTGTTGCTGGAAGAACGGCTTTACATGTTGTTGCAGGGAGTGTTACAGGCCAGTACTACCGGGACAACATCTTGAAGGTCCATGTTGTGCCGTTCGCACGACGTCATGGCCGCCGTTTCATCTTCCAGGATGACAACGCAAGATGTCACAGGGCCAGGATCGTTACAGGTTACCTCCAACAACAGAACATCACCACATTACCTTGGCCAGCACTGAGTCCCGACCTCTCCCCCATCGAGCATGTCTGGGACATGCTTGGACAGAGGTTACGTCAACGTCAACAACGTCCTGCCAATGTCCAAGAACTTGCTGCTGCGTTGCAACAGGAATGGGACAATCTGGACCAAAATGACCTTAGACGTCTCATTAGGAGTATGCCACGTCGGATCAATGCTTGTTTGGCAAACAGAGGAGGATTTACCCGTTACTGACTTGGTTGTGATGCTGTGGTAACTTTGTTGTTTGACCCCGGGTATCATTTTACCCTTATAATGGTCAGTCTGTGCCTTACTTAGTCTAACGAGCATTTGGAATAAATCGATGAATGTGAACTTCATTTCATTTTTTCATTTATTTCTTCGTCAGTTTCATTAGGTGACTTTAATAACACTTAAAAATCAAATATCCCCTACTTTTTTGGAATAGTATATTAGGCCTACGATCATAGTCAATCAACTTTACTGCAAATTGGGATGGTACTCTTGTAGCCTGGTGTTATGTAAAATGAAATGGTATTATTTAAAGTAAAAAGACCAATTTCTTGCAGGAACCAGGCTATTGGTCGAGATAGAATGGAATTTAAACTATGAAAGTAACAAATAAAAAATAAGCAGCCTTATAACAGTATTCTTAATCCTAATAAGCAGGATTAGATTTTCAACAATGAGATTCCTTGAGACATTTTAGCTTTTATACTGGTTATATGTAGGCCTACAAATCAAGTCACGAAAGAAGGCTTAAAGGAGCTAAATCGCTAGTATTTTGGGCCTAGAAATTGGCACATATGGGTCGCAACACATATAATAGACTACTGTAATGTGAATTTATATAAACTGTTTTACATTTAATCGTTTCCGTTTTACTGTGAATTGTCATCAGTTATGTTCGGCGAAATACGCCAGAAGTCTCAGCCGAAAGACAGTTTCTAGCGTCTGGTTATTCCAGTCAACACCGATAGTATATATTGGATAGTATATATTGTGCATGCTCTCCAAATAAGAATATGGCATTACCGTTTGACATGACTTGTGGAATATGTCTAGCCTCATTCTTTGAGCACGCACCTTGTTACAAATGGCGCTGAAATGCATTATGGACGATTCGTGTACCAATGGTAAAATGTTTATTTTGTTTTAAATATTGGATATCAGAAGCCCATCTTTTCCAGTTAAGACCAAAACACCAATGCTGATTTAAATTGCAAAAAAATCGTGTTTTCAATGTCGAAGATTTTGGATGATATTGAGTTACGGACTTTGCTACTTTAAAGGGACAATAAATAACACTCTTACTGGCTTGACAGCTCCAGAAAATAAATAACCTTATTCTAAGAATTAGATGTTTAATTGTCCTACCTGTTGTGTAAATTATCCATTAAATCCTATTTTACTTGTCCAGAGGGTTCGAAAATATTTTAAAATCCAAGTCACATTTGAAAAGGTTTACGTTAAGCTTTTCAAATCATTTAGTTGAATTTTTCCAATTTTTTAAATTAGGTGTGTTGAGATAAAATTTGTATGATCAATTAATTGGAATATTGTAAAATAGTACAATTTGTTGACCAGAATAAAGATTGGGGCATATTATTCAGTTACAACAAGAGTGGTATTGACCCTTTAATTAAAACATTCAATTCGCCGTCTGCTTGGAATGTTTAAAAATGGATTTACCTCCCTTGAAACATTATTTATAATTGAAGTAATTCACCCTGCCTGAGAATTTAGGCAGAGACTCCAATCCAGAGTTTTGTTATGAATGGCATAGGAGAAGTTCAACACCTTTTTAAAATGAATGCTTGAAATCAGATATTATTGAATGCAATTACGAAACACACCACAAGCATAAATGATAAAGGCCGGCTCTGCGTTGGCTAAATACTCCAATATCCAGACACTTTTACATGATATTGATTTTCACTTATGGATATTCGCGACAAAAAGGGAAATTCCAGTTTCGGCAATGGCGAAGTAAACAAATAAACGTGGTTTAGTAAATATGTTTTGTTTATTTGCTGAGAAGAAGCCACAGGTTTCATCTGTCAGTATGATACTTAGTTTGCCCCCAAGGTGTGTTTTCGGTTTTCAAAATTCTGTATTAGTTATAGTGAATTAGTGATCGAAATGAAATGATTTGCTGTTTGTTTATGAATTAAATGAAAATTGGAAAGAAGAATGATTTTCATTTTGTGATCTATTTATGTAACTAGAAGGTTGTGTCCTGAAAAACATTGTATGTCTGGATACCAGAATCTCCCCACATATGTGCAGTACGTGTGGACGGTAGTACGATTTACCCTAGAAATGGTTTCACTACTGATGTCTTCCGTCTTGCTCCAGCCACAGTAGTGGACTGTCCTAAGGCCTTCCTTTGAGCAAGTTTTGTAGTCATTTGACTAGAAAAAAGTGACTGGCCTATGCTCCCTTAATTTCCAATTACACTGACCCCAAACTGTACTGTACCTAGCTTAAAGATACATTATGGGAGATTCGATAACAAGTTGGCAGTTCTCACTATAATAATTAAAAACTAGATAACGTAGAGGCAATTTGCTGAAAATTTCATTCAAATTGATCCACTATGAACCGAGAACTAAGTGAATGAAATTTCTGCCTAGCCTCGGTCATCATCACTAAAGTCAATATGATAAACAGCAGTCTCGATTATCCATTTAATCGTTTAATCGAGAAGGAAAGTTATGCAGTAAATCAGCTCACAATCCACTTAAGATCACAGGCTAGCGATGCCATCTAGAGTTGATTATGGTCTGGATAAGTTAATTAATGTCTAATTAATGATTTAGAAAACATTTCAGGCCTAAAGAAAGACCTGCAATAGAAAGATTTAACTCTTGCATAATGTATGTTTAACATATAATAAACAATTCCCACTGAAATAAACATGAAACCTTACCGTATAATTATATGATTTGATTAAACCCAACTGGTATGTGAAATTTCTGTTCATTTTAAAATGGCCGCCGAACCATAATCACATGATTTCATGTCACTCGAAAATACAGTAAAAACAGATTATGATTTCAGTGTTCTGCTCTTCACTATTTGTAACATAATTACTTATTTCCATGCAAACTGTGAGGATATATCCCGATATGTGTTGAAAATTTTGCAATTGAACCTAATTTTACTTGCTCAAAGCCTCAAATAGAGTGTATCAATTGTAGCTGTGAATAAGAATTATGACGGCTACAAATATTGCATCTAGATTTACCCAAATCTACCCAAATCCACCATTTTTTCAACTTCTGACAATAATTTATATTAATTATATCGATATTGAATAATGTACCATTCTTTATACCAAACAGTTGACCTTTTTTGGTACAATAGTTCAAAAATAGATGATGAAAAATGGATATATTGAAAATTTAATTCAAATTACCTTATTCTCAGTGAAGTTATGAGTGTTCGAAGATGTAGCGTAGATTGTTTATTATCGTTGAATTTTAAAGTTTTGTTTGTGTTCTAATTCATTTAAATCTTGGCCATCTGATGGTCTAGAGAGTTGATTACATAGGCTTGTCATGTGAATCAGTGTCTAAATAATAGTATATATAACATTTGAAGTCAAAATAAAGATCTGCAATAGGTAGATTTAGCTCTAATATACATAATGCATCTTTAATCAATTCCATACCATTGACATAGCAAACATTGGAATAAAGTAATGTATAGAAAGACAGATTTATCACAAAAAATATGTCTTCCTTAACTTGTAAGAGTTATTTTTTCAATTCTTTGTTTTTTTTTAATTGAATAGGCTACTATTAATCTTAAGATTAAAGACAGCCCTTACGTCTATAGATATAGCCAATATGTTAAGATATAACCGATTGTGCAGTAAGTAAGGAATGAAACTTAAATTTGTGAAGAAACTGATATCCACAAAATCTTTCAAAACAAAAATTTTAATCTTATATACCCCATCTCTATAAATGATCCCCACAGTTGAATACTTTTTTTTTTACCTAAAAAAAAAGCATGTTTACCACCATTAAGTTTCAAGTACTGGTAGTTATTTGAACTTGAACTTTATCAAGGGTCAAGCAAATAATGTAGTATACATTGATAATTAAATAAAATGGATAACAACATAGTTTAAATACTACGCTGCTCCCCCCCCCCCCTTTTAATACAAACTCTCACCATCTGCAGAAATAATCAAATATGGTACCTGGGTGTAGCGTTAGAAAAAGTTGGGGGACAGATTCTGAAATCATTGCCTTATATCTACCAAAAAAAAGTAAAAACAACAATAATTTCAAACAAAACCAGCTGAATGAATGAGATTTCTTTATCTTCTTATTTGAAATTCAACTTTCATATTTCAGGTTTGAAGAAAAAGATAGCAAACCCACCATATCTGTTCATCAGAATTCTGTATGTTTAGAAGATAGAGATACATCGGTTAATTTCCGTTTACATAATGCTGAATTATCTCCCTTGTCATGCCGGGGACTACTTTTAAATCGACATAAGGATTTACAAATGACTCTTCGATCTTTAGAGACAAAAGAAGATGTAATTATTCAACCTGCTCGACAAGATGCAGCTCATATTAATCAGTCTAAATTAGTGGAAAAAATCCAGATATGTCAGAATCACCTCTTCTGTATTAGTTGTGGTAACAGAATATTACACAGACACAGGTAATACAAGTGTACTGACTGTAGGCACTTATCCAATCTCGTGGGTTTTCTCCGGGTCCAATCCCCAGTTGTACGTGACAAGGAGTAGGGTCGCCTGTCCAACCTCGTGGGTTTTCTCCGGGTCCTCCGGTCTCCTCCCACTGCTAAAGACCCCTAAGCGCAAGCGAATTATTGAAATAAAATTAAACCGTTTGTTAGTCCCAAAATGACCTAGTTTGTGTTGAGTGGACGTTAAACCCCATTTCTCTCTCTTTCTCCAGGTCCTCCGGTTTCCCCTCACTGCTAAAGAACCCTACGCGCAAGCGAATTATTGAAATAAAATTAAACCATGTGTTAGTCCCAAAATGACCTAGTTTGTGTCGAGTGGACGTTAAACCCCATTTCTCTCTCTCTCTCTCTCTCTCTCTCTCTCTCTCTCTCTCACTGACTGTAGGATCACATCTTTCATGCCACACCTTCTGTACATGTTAACTACACGAACCTAAAAAGATTGGTCTATTGAATGTGCTTGTTTTTAGCTACGTTTGGAGGCCTTCATTATAGTAACCCATACTGTGGCATCTTGGAAACTGAAGTTTACAATAGGATAATGTTAAATATGAATTACCTCATGGAAATGAACTATTAAACTTCAGCACTGTCTGAAATAATGTGCATACATTATGTCAAAATTGAATTTTTGAACTACCAACTTCCATGACACTTTGATGTTTCTTGTCATCTTGGTTAGTGAATCAGTGTCTGTAACTTTCTGAGAAAACGTGGCTCCCTTTTTGCCCTTTTAGATGAAAGATTGGTATGAATTTAATCATCTGGTGATGATGCCCCAGCAATTATCTGATGACCTGCCGATAATTTTCAAAGCATTTGATATGTAGAATATAGTTGTACAGTATATGTAGTTGAACAAATATAATTGATAATCAGAATAATAATAATTTATGAAGGATAAATTTGGTTACTGTAAATGTAAACTTTGGCATCATCACTCTGTCTTAGTGAGAAATACATATTCGTGGAGTTTAGAAGACTAGCATATCTGTGTTTGTGCACTTATATACAAATTATATCGTAATATCTTGATTTTCCAGTAGTTTCTACAGAGTTCTGCCTCTGCCATCGGAAAATTGGTCAGATTACGCTGACATGTGGTTCTGTCATCGACACGACTCTCATGGTGCAAGTGATGTTCATGACACTACTGACACTCATGATCAACAAAAATCTAAACCATCTCCGTCACTGTCACCTAAAGCCAATGATTGTTTGGTGGGTACAACGTACATTATGATCAACTCAAGACACATCCAGTCTGGTGCTGTGAACAGTCATCAAGATGAACTGGTTTGTAGTAGATGTGGAGTGTGCATAGGTACATCTTTAACCCACAAACAAAGTGACCAAGGTAATAAATTATAAAAGATTAATATTGAATTGATGGGTGTTGTGTGTGAAGTAGTGTATGTTTACTTGTTTTTGATCACCTGATACCATTTTGACTGGATATAACAACACACTAAAGTACATATATCTTGTTAGTCGTTAAAAGGTGAAGTCTTAACTTTCACTTGGTCTCCAATAAGTTTGTTTGGTTATGCAAATCAAATGCTAACATGTGCAGAAATACGCTTTTAACTGTCTTTGAAAGTTTCAGGTCAAAATATTGAGCCTTTTGGAAATCGTACTTTATAGAGATTTCTTCATTTATTTCTTGGGTTACATGAACCTGATAAATGCGACTATTCAATGTTATCAGTAAAATAGGCCTATCCCAAGATTTAAATAACCTGCAAATTCATTTACTCGCTGTAAAAACCCAAACCACTGTATTCTTGAAGTTGTCAAATGCTGTGTGCATATCTGACCTACATATGTATAGATAATCATTGGTATTTGTTTGAAGAAGTAGCACAGGGCTTCAAACAGCATTATTTAATGAAATAACCTGGGATTTCTCCTTTGACATATGACCATCTGATAAATTTTCTTTTAGTATACATTTATGACTCATGAGTACCTGTACATAACCTTTTTACGTCTAATGAGCACCTTTATATAAGATGACTTTCATCAGGTAACAATCCGGTTACTGTTGTATTATTGAAAATTAAGTAATCTCTTTAAATTGAATTATTATTTGTTGTCAGAGAGGGGGCCATGAGGTTGTGACATGGCTGATTCAATGGACTATCTTTGAAAATTGGGTTTAGAGTTAACACTGTCCCATTATTATGATTTTGTGTAAGGTGTTAGTTGTGCAGTTTTCATGATTTGTCTGTTATTTTTATTTCAGAAACTAAAGATACCTACAAAATTTATCTTCATGCAACAACATTTCAACAAACCGACGATACGTCTGATTTACTTACTTCCAAACAAAGGTACATGTATTTATATTTATTACTAAACAGCAAAAAAACAAAACGTCAGTACGATTTCAAAATCAGAGAGGCACTTTAATCAAATCATTCTAGAAAACGACTTACTAAATGGATCAAAGCAATTTTTTGTGAACAATATGTTGACACATTAGTGATTAATTCATCACAATTCCAAGACATTACGTGAAGGTTTAGAGTCTGTACACAGTCTATACATCAGTATCTGGTGTGTCCACTACGAGTGTCAATAACAGCAGCGCATCATCTGCATGGAGTGGACCAGACTATTGAGGAACACCTTTGGTACCTGGAACCACACTCTCAGAAAAGCCTGGTGCAATCCATTGGTTGTGTTTGGTCTCGGTACACCGTTATTAAGTCTCCCCTGAATTTCATCCCAAAGATGTTCAATCGGGTTTAAGTCCGGACTAAGGGCTGGCCAGTGCATAAGATTGACACCGTTCTGCTGTAGAAAGTCCCGAGTAACTCTGGTGGTGTGGATAGGGGGCGCTGTCATGCTGAAAAATGTTGTATCGATGAAGTGTGAAATGTGGTATGACGTGGGGTCTGAGAACTTGATCGATGTAGTGCACTGCTGTGATGCCGTCTCTTCTGCCTGGACCAAGATTTTGGAACACCACAGGACCCACTCTCTGGTTCAGGCCAATTCCACCCCAAACCAATATACAATAATAACATTTGGCAAGTTTTATGCAATGCGTCTATTCAGAGTAACATACCAACCTGACGTTTCTTTTGCTGCTTAGTATATTTTATTTGTGTTCTGATCAGTGTCAATAATAAAATGACAGTACTATATTTTGCACTGTACACGAATTACATGTTCCATGTTCCAAAAATGTTACTTCTATGTACATGTATAAGAATCACCCTTCCTTCAATCTGCCATGAGGGATTGAGTGGTTGAGTATTTTAACGCATGTGATCATAAGATCTGTTATCTATGTAAATCATGGATTTTGAATATATTTGTCGGGTTGCCTTTATAGGCTCAATACCACTCTTGGTGTAACTGAATAATATGTCCCAATCTTTATTCTGGTCAACAAATTGTACTATTTTAGAATATTTCAATTAATTGATGATACAAATTTCATCTTAACACACCTTATTTAAAAATTTTGAAAAATTCAACATAATGGTTTGAAACGTCTAACGTAAACCTTTTCAAATGAAACTTCGATTTAAAAGTAAAATAGGATGTAATGGATAATTTACACAACAGGTAGGACACTTAAACATCTAGTACTTAGATAGAGATATTATTTATTTTCTGGAGCTTTCAAGCCAGCAAGAGTGTTATTGTCCCTTTAAGTGACAAGTCACTAAGTATTGTTTTTATATCTACATCTATATAATGGTCCATCATATTTTATATTTTATCATTACTTGATAAAGACGAGAGAATTATTTATACAGTATTATTTATATTTTACAGCTGTGAAGATAGATTACAGTATTATTTAAGTCAGTTATTACAAGAAGAAAGTCAACTATATACCAGTTTTAGATTTATTATATCATCAACTGATAACCACAACCTATCTATTAAAATTATGGTAAGATTTGACATATTACATGTAGAATCTAGGGGGATTGGGTGGCCGTATGACCTAATACGTACACAAGTGAATTGCCGTGATTTTCGATCCCACACTTCCCATTGACAGGGAGTAGGGTCTGCCTGTCTAACCTCGCGAATTATTGAGATAAAATTGCACCATATGTTAGAACCAAAATGGCCTTGTTTCTGTTGAGTTGTTGTTAAACCTCATTTCTCTCACTAGAATTAAAGTCAGTCTATTTTGGTTGTAATGATTACAGGTCCAGGACCACATTAATATTGTAGATAGCAACAGAAATCCAAATAACAATTACTATTAGTATGTGTTTCTGATGAAATATATGTTTTACAAATGTACATTTTATAAATTTAAGAATCCCTGCACAACAGCAGCACAACAGACTTGGTTTAGAGTAGAGATTTTTTAATGATATATCGTTAATGAAAAAGGGTACTGCAACCCGAAAGTCATATAATTAAAAAAAGTCTCTACTCTAAATAAAGTGTGTTGTGCGGGGATTCTTAAATCTATATTATTGCTCTCCTGGCCCGTAGGTTTGGTTGTTTAATGAGAAAGTATCATGAATAGGTTGTTATTTGTAGGTTTGTTTGTTTAATGACAAAGTATCGTGTAATTGGTTGTTATTTGTAGGTTTGGATGTTTAATGAGAAAGTATCATGTAATTGGTTGTTATTTCTAGGTTTGGTTGTTTAATGAGAAAGTATCATAAATAGGTTGTTATTTGTAGGTTTGGTTGTTTAATGAGAAAGTGTAATTAGTTGTCATTTGTAGTTTTAGTTGTTTGGTGAAAATGTATGATGTAATTGGTTACTATTAGTACATGTAGGTCTAAAGGTTGTTTAATTGGAAAGTATGATGTAATTGGTTGTTATTGTAGGTTTGCTTATTTAATGAGAAAGTATCGTTTTATTGGTTGTTATTTGTAAGTTTGGATGTTTAATGTGAAAGTATGATGTAATTGGTTGTTATTTGTAGGTTTGGTTGTTAGATGAGAATATTGAAGTGTATCAAGGTGTATGTGAAACTACTAGTAATATTAATCAAGTGATAGATATACCAGCTGTACTCTGTGTGAAACTACTCTATAGGTGTATTTTATCATCCAGGTAATTATCTATTATTTATTTATTCATTTATTTAACCTTTTAGATCAGAGATTTCAATTTACTCGAAAACAGACAATGAACAATTCTAAAGCCCTTACAATTATGATAAATGTTGTTCTTAGATGAGTACCACTTCAGATGATATGAATGTTATTCACAGGTGCAGAATTTATGGGGTAGGGGCTCAACTCCCCCCCCCACCCACCACCCATATGGGACTTTGTAGGCGCCCCTCAGGCCCAGTCCCAGTCCCCAAAAAATAGAAGCTCAGTTATATTATATTTCTCGCCTACTGCGCTCGATTCCATTACTTCATCATTTTTCCACTCCTCTGTGGTCTTATACGATCTTATCACAATCATATTCACGGTTATAGTGAATCACCCAGTTAGTAGTACCACTAGTGAGAGGGTTGTAGTGCGACATACTGTACACATGTTCTATTAACTCTCACAAAACTACCGGAATTGACAGCCAGGCCTCGAGATTCTGTCCCATTGATTCCCATTTCTTCTCCTCTCGTTCATATGAATTTGCTCTCATCAATGAACTCAAATACCAGGAAATTGACTAAAATTTTCAGGCCCAGTCTCAAAAATTAAAAGCTCAGGTACATATTATACGTTGCTATCTGAAATATTTTCGTGCCTACGGTGCTCAATTCTATTATGGCATCATTCTTCCACTCCTGTGTGGTCTTATACTATCTCATCACTCTCATATTCACGGTCATAGTTAACTGCCTAGTTAGTAGTACCACTAGTGCGTAGGGTGACAGACTGTACAAATGTTCTATGAACGCTCACAAAACAGATGGAATTGACAGGAATATCTTGAGATTCTGTCCCATTGACTTTCATTTCTGATCCTCTCGTTCACAAGAATTTGCTCCCAGCAATGACCTCTAAGGCCAGGATATTGACTTAAATTTTCAAAATTTCCTCAGGAGGCTGCAGTAAGTTCAAGAGTCATCAATATTAATTTGTTAAAACTATTTTTGAAATAAATTTCAAAATAAACTAGACCTCCGAAGGAGTAGAGACCTGTTTCGGTACGTCAGGTTACCCCTTGTCATGTCAATAATCAAGTTACACCATGCATTATTGAGTAAGATAGTAACATTCAATACCTATTAAAGGGACTATCCCGATTTGATCAGGGTCTCAAAAATAAAAGTCTGAGTACGTTTGAAATTTAAGTGCCAAAATATAGAGGAATGGTGTATTTACCGTGTTTAGACGTGAACCACAAAACTGCTTATCTGGACACGTAACCCTTTTAAGATTTCGGGTCTGTTTTTTTGTTGGGTGGCCTGATAACCGATTCCCGTTCTTTTACGGATCTATACAATGAATGACCCATGTGCTGTACTTGATAACGAAAGGTAAGTTCCACCTAGGCATTAGTTTTATAAAATAAAAGTCTGGTTTTATCCAGCCACCGCATAATACAGCTTGGGAGACCAGTCTCCATCTCCAGATGAAGACTGACAGGTTTAAGTTGTTTGAAAACGTATCACATATAATGAGTTAGCTGCTCGGCCCTAAGGTAGAGGGTTTTATGGGATTTTAACACAAAATTAAGCAGTTTTATTCTCCAAAATGTTATCGGGATTGGCCCTTTAAAGTGGAAAAAAACTGTCATTTTAAATTCTTAATAAATCTGGAAGTTATACTTCAATGTCGAACATTTTGATATTAATTTGTTGGTCGACATGAGAGTCATCATATATGAAAAGGTCAAGCGTCATTAAAAGGTTAGGTCACTAGATAGAAATAAACAGTTGAACAAAATTCAAAGTGAAACCGGAAGTAAATGAAATCGAAATTAAAAAATCAGCTCCCTAACAATTGTTGCCATTTGGAATAAGTTCAAAACAAAAAAGAGTTTTCGAAAATCGGAAAAAAATGGTGGCTGAATATTGATTTGAAGATTTTTTGTAAAATCCAATATGGCAGCCAAATGGTTGAAGATTTTATCAAACAAGGTCTCTGAAAATGGAAGATAATATCTGGGGCTAATGCCACCATATTATGCTATTTTTTGGTCTATTTTTAAAATGGAGAGAACTATTCATGTACGGGAAAAATTGGAAGGCCATTCTGCCAATGTAGACGTTGTTGGCCTTAGTGGATCTATTTATTAAATATAAATTGGGTCATTTCTACTAAAAAATAATATCAAAATGTACGGTCTTGAAGTATAACTTCTGGTTTTATTAAGAGTTCAAAATGACAGATTTAACCACTTTAATAGGTATTGGCTCTTACTATGCTCAATAATGCATGGTGTAACTTGATTGTTGACATGACAAGACGTGACCTGGCGTACCAAAACACGCCAGTACTCTTTGGAGTTCTAGTTATAGTTGTATTTTATAGAAAATCTGATGCATGTGAAAGCTTCATGTATCATAACACCATTTTTTTATATTCTACATCAAATGACAATGGTTTCCTTCCAAATGAAAATCTATGTCAACATTCTGACATTAATGAAGTCTTAAATGTTTCATAAACAACCGGACTATTATGTATTTAACAATATTTACAAAATATTAATAATTTATCATTGCAAATATGAATTTGAAATATAAACCATTTTCGGGTTAATGTTTGAGTTATAGTTTTGTAAGATAATACCTATACAAAATATTAAAGTGTTATTAAATATTGTTTCAATTATCTGTCTATGTAAAATGTAAACACTTGTATGAAATAAAAACATCCTTTAAATAACATTATTGATTTTCTACCTACATGTATATTTATACACCCACCATGACACTTTACACCCACATTAGTTTGTTACCCAGTAGAATCAAGATTTTTTTAGCCTGATTTTCCTAAAAACTATGTGAACGTGATAGAGGCTACAGTTTTTAAAAGGGCTTTATTTTTCAAATTTGGTGGGAAGCATTGTGAAGCTAGAGGATGAATTCTATCAATTTTCAGCCTTGTATTCTGGAGTTTTTCTAAGAAAAATTTTTGAATGCGATAGAGACCACAGTATTTAACAGTTTTGTTTCAAATTTGTTGTGATGCATTGGGATGCTAAAAGAATAAACACTATTGATTTTCAGCATTGTTTGACCTTCTCTTTTGTAACACAATTATGCCACCATTTTGAAAAACCATGTGATAAGAGTTACACTGTTCAATGGATTTTTCTCAAATTTCATGTGAAGCAATTATTTTTCAGTTTTCTTGGACATTCTGTTCCAGAATTATGTGTGTCTGTTAAAGCTTGTGAAAGAGATAGAGATCCGACTTCATGAAGGCATGAAGGATACTGCTGAAATTTGGTCAACATCCAACATCCCTTACAATAAGCTGCTGTCTACGGCTTTCTTTTTTCAAGACATAGCTGTTTTATGGTCATATTTTCATTCTTTGCATGGCTGTCTTTATAGTAAAAGAAAACAGACATAACGTGTATTCTGTATGATAGCAGGGCTTCTATTTAGAGATGTGATCAAAGTTTAAAGTGACCTGAAAAAGTCATGACACTTGTCATGAGAAGGAAGCATGTTAATCATAGACAAATGTATCTAATGTTGTGTTCGATTTATCTCATGTTAACAGTTAGCATAATTTTAGGACCTGAAAATAGCACCCAAATTATTTTACAACTACAACATATACATTCAAATCATGTTAAAACTTTTATATTCCAAATTAGTTTACAACATATGCATTCAAATCATGTTACAAATTATATATTCCAAATTAGTTTGCAACTTACACATTCTTAATCATTTTACAACTTACAATGCACATATTCCAAATCATGTTACAGCATATAAAATTTTAATCATGTTACAACTTATATATTCCACATCATGTTACAACTTATATATTCCAAATCATGTAACAACTTATACATTCCAAATCATGTAACAACTTATACATTCCAAATTGTGTTACAACATAAATATTATTCTAGAAGGTTAGAAAGATTCTTACTCCAGGTAATGGATTATCATATGGATTAATAAAAATGTGACCACCTTCTTCGGTATATTTTTGTCTGGCAACCAATCTTTTTTGTTGTTGTGCGTTATTATTATACAGCTCAAGACTAAATATGCCTGACTAATCGGAATACCTACCAATATCCTATTTATACTGAAGTTGAATGTTCTTTTCCCATATATTCTAACACCATAATAGTGGTAAAATCTATATGCATGATGTCACGATGCTCTATTATGTATGTAACTTTTGTCTTAATATTCTGTTTTTCTATAGCTTATTAAATTTGTATGTACTCTGGGTTGAAGGATACTTGATCTTAGCCTGTTCAAAGTGTGCAAACAATCAAATTCATATTGATTCAGTGGATTGCAATAGTCTCATAAGAGTTGCTGTATTGACAACTTCTGGAGACAAGTGTTAAAAGTTTCCACACAAGCCTTTGCCATCACTTCTTAGTTTTTTTTAACCTAGTTAAATTAGCAACAAATTCAGGCATCCTGTTTTTTTAGGTCTATTTTCATTAATAGGGTACATTCATTAAAGATACATTAGTTAAGAGTTTAATAAAGAGTTGGTCATTCTTGCTATAATAATTCAAAAATAGATGATGAAAAAAGAAAATATTGAAAATTTCATTCAAATTACTTCATTCTCAGCCAAGTTATAATTGTTTGTAGTTTTGACAAGATGCGTGCACAGTGGTAACCAGGTCACTGGTATAATCAGGACTTAGCCGCGCTTTCCCATTTTTAAATTAAATTTTTAAATGGCGAACCATTATAATCTAGTTAAAATCTCGAGATCCGATGCCATTGAGAGTCGATTATGGTCTTGTTTTGTTAATAAATGTCTAAATAATAATTTAGATAACATTTAAGGCCTAAAGAAAGACCTGCAATAGGCAGATTTAGCTCTTACATAATGTATGTTTAATGAGTGACATTTACCATTTATTTGTATTAGATAGATCATTGGGCATATATTGTCTATTGATAACAGTACAAGTGATTAATTGTATGAAAATTTAAACCAAAATGTATTGATATATTACATGTTTGTAAGTAAGTAATATGTAAGTAAGTAATAACGATATGTTTGTCTGGCTGGTTTGTATATAAATAAAACAACACATGTCACAAACTACTTTTAAAAGCAAATCCTATAAATCTGATTGTCTTTAGTCTAGACTCAAATCAAATCAAATCATGGAAAAACATAAGTTATAAGCTTTTACATCCGACCATTATATAAATAAAATATAATTATGATTTTAGTAAAGTATTTCTGCATTATTTCGGTCAAGGAGGAATCATGCCGTGGGACAACCTTATCTCATCACTGCCTTCTTATGGATTAAGTTGTCAGTTTGTATCTGTAATTGGTAATAGTTCTGTTATTGTATTTACAGTCAAGCTAAACCAGAAGATAAAGCTATATATAAATTATGGGAACGAGATAATAGCGTCCATGGCATTTCTCTACCATATAGTTTGTGTCAGCAGATGACGTCAATACTAATAAACAGCACAAAGAAACTACCTAAATCAACCCGACAACTTAATGGTTTCAATGTAAGTTTAATACCACGTAACTTCTAGCAGATTTTCATTTTGCACACAGAGAACTATCTACTTGGAGGATAGATCTCTGCCCTGAATTACCGCTACATCTTTCATACACACAAACACTAAATAAACACTTTCCATTTTATTAAATTTTAATGGAAGCAGAATAAACATTTCTAAAAATTCTCGAAGTATACTTTTTAGTGTTTTGACTAAAATCGTCGATTTAGGAATTAAAATGGCGGTGGTCAATTAGCTGCGTGTATGTGTAACTTTCGCATGGCAGGTTTGTTGCCGTCAATGTTCTGGCTGAATCTGACGAGCAAATACAGCAATTCAAATATGTCATATGTTCTCTTCCTAAACCCCTGAAAGGATGATTCTACTGATAACTAGAGATAAAATTGTAAACAACAATTTTATCAACAAAACGCTTCAAAATCACAAAATAGTATTCTCATGCTGGTCTCACACAGTGGCAATGATCACAAGGTGATCGCCCGACATTCGTAGGTGTTCGTGAGCATTCGCGGTCATGTTAATTGCGGTGTTACGAATATTAGGAACATGCTCCTAAAGTCCGCCTGGAAAGGGGGGGTTAGCGTGCGCGCGCTGTATCATAAAGTCTGTCATTGAGTCGACTGGCGTGGTTTCGAATCCCCGGTTGTACGTGGCAAGGAGTAGGGTTGCCTGTCCAACCTCGTGGGGTTTTCTCCGGGTCCTCCGGTTTCCTCCCACTGCTAAAGACCCCTACGCGCAAGCGAATTATGTAAATAAAATTAAACCATATGTTAGTTCCGAAATCACCTAGTTTGTGTCGAGTGGACGTTAAACCCCATTTCTCTCTCTCTCTCCGCCTGGAAAGCATATTCATCTTGCTTTTGCAACATTTTTAGCAGCAACCACAAGCCATTTTTATCGATGGCAAGGCATTTGTAGTGATCGTAGGACATTTGTAAGAATTTGTTCACATATTCTTTTATACGCCCACATTATTTTATTGTAACCCTGGTCCGTCCGTCCACACTTAGTTTTGAACGCGATAGAGTTAACATTGTTCATGTGGTTTTATGTCCAATCTGAGATTGGTTCGAGTTATCAGTTCATAAATAATTATTTGTTGACTTATTACCCTTACGTCAAATGTAAATTTAAGCCAAAATGAAATATCCGATTTGAATGAAATCTTGTATAGCTATACTTTATGAGATCTCGGATGATTGTGAATTTTAAATAGCTTTCGAACACGTACATTACACAATTCACTCTCATATAATGAAGTAGCTTTCTTGTTTGGTTGTTGCCATCCCCAATACGATACACGGGCGTATTTTTCTAGCGACTGCTCCCTACCTTCCATGAAGTCAGTAGTGAGCTGGGTCGTAAAATCGACCACAGCATCCTTCAAGAACTGTATGGTATATTATTCATTAATATTTTGCATATCTTAGAATATAGACAAAATGAGTTTTACAACAGCCCAGCTATCTCAGACCATTCCCAGGCCACGGGGCATTGCCCAAATGGCCGGGTGACCAGTTTACCCGTTTCTGGAGGTGTGACAAGTCAGAGTTTTTTGGGATCGGTTAGATTTGATCAGATATAGTAATGGGGAGCCTTCACTTCCTATATATTGATAACGGTGTGTTGATTCCCCAAAACAAAGCATTTATTTGCCACGAAATTAAGAGCACACGCTATGCCATAGTTATTTAACGCACTCGTGGGAAATTACATTTTTATAACGCCTACTTAGTTTTTCTCTAGAAAACTAAGAAACAAAAATAAATGGGTTTTTTTTTGATAATATTTTTAGATTGGATTGCTAAATGTCAAACGATGAGCAGATATCCAAGGAAGAAGACCAAGCCAGTTTTCTGTAAAGATTTCGACCGTCATCCATATAAACAGACCTTTAGATCTGAAGTACTTTTGTCACCATTAGTATAAGCATAGAAGTTCTTTAAGTGTGTATTTCTAAGAAAATGTCAATGTATGTGTTTGTTCAGTTATTTCTTTCCAGATAAAAAAAAAGTGAGTCTATCATGAATTTATGTATGATTAAAACAAATAAATTAAAAACAAGCGCATTTTATTGGTCATGAACTTTTGTACAATCTAAATAAATATTAAGAATATGTTAATTTTCTGTAATTATATCTTCAAGATACACAAATCTGTTAGTCAGGAATTTCCTATGAGGATTTTAGTGTAAGCATTTTTATCGACCACTGATTAGACAACTTTATCTGCATTCAATCAAATTTCCATCTAATTCAAATTGATTACCTTAATCAGCGAATTTATTGACACCGATATCCGAAGTGATTACCCAAATCGCCTAATCACTTCCAGGTGCGATTTGATCGGGTGATCGCATGGTTTTTTTCACCTATTTCTAGCCACAAGAATTTTTTACACCTAATCGGCGCATTTAACAAACTTTCACATAGAAAGTAAATTAAATGTCAGACTATCCGGTCAGTCGAATTTTTGTTGGATTGAGCGATTTGATCAAACCTATACTGATGTTTCATTTAACCCCAACCACTGACCTATCGTTTGATTGTTTCTCAGGGAAATTGGACATAACATTCTGCTCCGACTGGGCTAAAGAAGACGTGCATACGCCATACAGTGTGCTATGAGGGAAATTTTGCCCGGGCAGCGGCACTATGGCCTACTCTTATAGCGAATTCCAACTGTCAAGGGATCTTTTACGTGCATGCCAATGTATACACATGACCTCGGTTTTCGTTCTATCCGAATGACTAGATAGCTGTCCTTGTCAAATCCTCCGTCTGACAAGGGAAAACCCCGTCGGAAAATCCAATGAACTTTCTCTGCCAATGCAGGGATTGAACCCGCGACCACCAGGCTAGCGAGCCAGCGTCTTACCCACTTAGAAACCATGGCTTTGGCAATCTCTGAACTTTCTTGCCTCTGTGTTTTTGAAAATCAACCATTTGAATCACATCAATTCAAGATTCAACCAAACCTGTTCAAGCGTATTATTACGTGTACTAAGACCTCTCCGAATACTATAAAGTTTGTGAATTTTTCCCCCTCCGTTGACCACAGTCCCTTATAGTATTAAATTTAGTTCCGTTTTTATTTCTTGGTTAAACTGTCATAGTACGGCCAGTATTCTATGGCCAGTTGCGGAGGGGGGGGGGGGGTACCGTCCAGATTAGGTCGAAATTATGACATTTTGTTTATTGTACGACGCAAAGAAGGCCTGACATAATATGGAGAGACAGAATAGGAAAGAAATTGCATTTGATTTATTAGAAAAATGGTTTATTCGTATCTTTAAAAATACATGAAACAAACAAAATGAATATTAATTGTTCAAATGAAATAGTTAAAAAAAAAAAGAACATTTGTAATAAATCCGTTAAACACCATAGCCTCTATCGTGTTAACAAGGTTTTCGAAAAAAAAAACGAACGCTAAATTATATAAATCCCATTAAAAACTATAGACTCATACTTTTTAACACGGTTTCGAAATGGGGATGGGGATACCGCCGTAACTGAAAGATGCGGAACGCTGAATATCGATCGGGTTCACCCTCCCGTGACCACACCAAATATGAAGAAAATCGGCTAACGACTGTAGCCTCTATCGCGTTAATAAGGTTTTCTTGTGGTGGGTGGGGGCACAGAGCGCTGAATATCGACAATTATAAATAACACTAGCGTCTAGAATTATATAAAGGGTTATTATATAATTATTATATAAATAATGTATATCATCAACGAACCGCATAGTACAACTATTGTTTTATCGGTTGGTAGAGCCGCTTGACAGCTCACCACTAGCGTCCGATGTCATTATATTCCGGTTAGATCAATTTGGAGAAACTTTTTTTGACATTGGTTTTGTAAGATTAGTATTTCGATATTTGTTGTTCGCGATATGTTTTTCGTTGTATGTTTCTAAAGAAATTTTATCATTATATTAAAAATACAATTTAAATAAACAAAGATGCAATTTACAAATCTGATCTGACAAATGTCTAATTTGTAAAACAAATATTGATTTTAAGACACAAATGTTAATTTTACTGTACAAAAGTCGAAATACCACAACAAATGAAGAACTAAAAATTAAGGACAATGTATTAAGAACTAAGAATTAAGAACCCTGAGTAAAGAGCTGTTTGGTATTCCATACAACGGTGAATAAACAACGCTCGTTCCTTACCTTTAGTCTAAAGAGTAGCAGTTAGACAAGTGCAAATATCATAATGAACCGCTAAAAGGCACCCATGTGTCTTGGCGTTATATGAAATCGGCTTACATTTTGATAATCAAGACAGACACACAATAGAGGAACTTAATTTAACACCGACCGGGCTAATGGAGACGGGCATACACCAATGTGTCCATGGGACTCGGTTTTTCGTCTGAGACAATATTCAATGCCAGGCCCTCAGTCCTGCATCACTAACAAGGAGAGACCACGCCTAAAATTCCAGAGTACCCTTCTCGTCCAGCACCGGGATTTCCAGGTTAACGATCGGGCGTTTTACAACATTTAGTCAACAATTGCCCACATAGAACACCCGTATTCGTCACTGTTCGGAACAAATTACCTTTATAGAATAGCACGCTGCAGGGCGCATCTCAAACTTAGGCTGCCTGTCTACAGTTAGCTCTCGAATTATGAAGTAGATTAAATCGCTGCGTGCAGTATGTGCAGGGCGTTTTCCATCTTCATCAGCCGGGTTAGTGCAAATAAGACGTTAAACCAGATATCATTTCATTTTATCCATAATCTGATTAAAATACAGATCTATATTTCGTTTCGTTTTTTTTATATATACATGTACTTTCGATGGCCTACACCACATGATGAATATCTGACAATTTATAGTGGGAGTTCAAGTCAGGGGTCAAACGAGCAGCTTTTGGCCCTATGACGTCAGACATTAATTAATCAATCAGCGTTGACGTCTCTAGTGGTTTACCCACAATTCCGTGCATCAAAAGGCCAAGAACTCCCGGTAACAGACCGTTTCATTGGCTAATCACTCACATCATCCAGAACACGTCAATGATAACAACTCTTCCAGATCCTTTTGTAGTTAAGACAAGTAAAACGAAATTTTGAACTATAAAAACGAAACGAAATGGGATGTGTGTTTTAATCAGATTGTAAACAAGAGATCAATGATTTATATCATCTGGATAATCGTAAAAAAGCAGGACTAAACTTCGAAATAAAAGTCACTGTTTTAAACTGCCATCACAAAACAGATACATTGATAACATTCCAGTCGTTGATATAAATATCATATAAGTAAGTAAAGTTTATTTCGGTGACATGTGTTATACTAAGAAGACATGTGAAAATAAAAATACTAACACCCGGCCCAGTGGACCTATGTGTCACCACTTTTAACATACACAAATTAAAGTCTAATATAAGAATTCAAACGAAACGGATCAGTAAGTTGAGTATTTACAATAATTACAACGTCTATTCGACCTGTAGGAATTCCTTCCTATATCAGTTGAAAAGTTTGTTTCTACAGTCCTCAAATAAGCGTGATTCGGAAATTTTGCACACTGACGCCGTAAATTCCAGTCATTGATATAAATATTATATAAAAATCCAGCCATTGATATAAATATTATATAGTAATCAAGTCATTGATATAAATATTATATAATAATCAAGTCATTGATTTAAATTTATATAATACCTCAGTCATTGATATAAATATTATATAGTAATCCAGTCATTGATATAAATATTATATAGTAATCCCGTCATTGATATAAATATATAACAATCCAGTCATTGATATAAATATTATATAACAATCCAGTCATTGATATAAATATATAACAATCCAGTCATTGATATAAATATATAACAATACAATCAGGGCAATATCGTTGAACGAAAGAAATCATTGATGTTTCATTTTTCAGAATTAGATTCCTGATTCACATTGTCAGTGACGAATCTACGCAAAACATAATATTCACGATCACATATTACTCTCCACCTTAGTCATAAGTGAGTAAGGCGGGATGGGTTGGACTCATCACGTCGCTTGCATTCTCGCCATCTACGAATTGTTTGAAATTGTGAGGCAAAGGAACGACTCGTCCGCATATAAATTATAAAGTTAAACGAAGAGTTACTACATTCGAGGATTATATTAATGGCACTGACCACCGAGAACAAGTTACGGTACTGTCCATTCCAGTCGAAGTCACTGGTCACAAGACGGACAATAGTTATCACGGTCCCGGGAATCAGACAGATCACATACAGCGTAGAAATAGCTATCAAAGTTTTTGTAACCCTCCGCTCTTCCAAAATTAAATCCGCTTTGTTTAAATTTGTTGATCGAATTCGCCATCGAATATGACGTCGGAGGTACAGAACCAAGGCAGTTGTGGTTCCAGACACAATCAAACAGGGCAAAAACCGGAATATAACATTCAACACTAGATTTGTGTAATAGTCGACGATTGTTCGATGCCCGGTGTAAAACTGGGTAGCGTTCATGACAACCAAATACCTCTTTAAAGTCGGGTTATATTTCGACGAAGTTTCGTACACAAAAAAGAGCGGCAAGAAAGACAGAAATGTAAAAATAAAAATTGCAAACACCATGGTCTTAATGCGGTACAATGTGAGAACCATCCGGGTTCGTAATGGCCACATGACAACAGCTAGTCTTTCCGTTGATATCAGAACGGTCAACAAACTTGTTATCCGTGCAAACATTATTCCAATAAAATATACTTGTGGCATCATAAGTCTTCCATAGTTAAGTCCCGTTATTGAGTCAAATTTAGAAATGATACAAGAAAATTTTCGGAGAAGCGTTGCGAAAAGAAACATACTATCCGAAACAGTCAAACCGAGAAGCACAACGTTCGCTCGACTTTTATATCTTTGTGAAACCAACACCACAAAACTAATGACATTCATAGTGAGTCCGCTGATCGTGAGCACGAGCAAGATACCACAGTTTACCACTTCCAAAAATATTTTGGCCGTTTCATTGTTGATAAAGCCACCCCGATGTTCCGTTGGCACTACGGGCGAGTGCCGAGGGAATATGACACCCGTCAAATTCGTAAAATTCATCCTTGTGTTTATTCAACGGATTTCTAGAAATACCACCAGTTGATGTTCTAAACGTCTCAGCTTGCACACTGGTCCAACCCTGTAACTGACTTAATGGTAATGATTATCATTTTTTGTTTGCATAAACTACAAAGCACGGATATTGCCTTAAATCTGATGAAAAGCAATATCAATTAATAAGAGCTAGTCAGTCAAATCATTTTTTATGTCACTTCATCCTTTGTATACGTCTTGTTTCAAGACAATACATTTTTGACTTCTATATTTTCGGGTGTAAAATGCTACCACTTTAGAACGATGACTGAAACGTTTATAAAGCAGACCGAAACTTGATGACCTGTCCTGATGCGAAGATGAATTCAGAAATAGTTCAATTTTACTAAGATCGTTTCTCGCCGATAAACTGTTCAGCACGCTAGAGTTCAGTAACTGTACAATATTTCACTGCGAGGTTTCTTGATAAAGAATCTATAATGTCACAATCACAAGTGGAGTGAGGTGTCAAGACGAAATGATATTAAAAAAAATGAATGCTTGAAGAAACACTGTTTCATTTATTTGCAGATAAATTAGAAATCTACCACGTCGTAATACATATGAATTCCACCACAGTACTTATTTCTGTTTCTTATAAAGAATGTGGGGGGTTGGGTGGCTGAATGGTTAGCACGTGCGCGCTGTACCATAAAGTCTGTCATTGAGTCAACTGGCGTGGTTTCGAATCCCCGGTTGTACGTGGCAAGGAGTAGGGTCGCCTGTCCATCCTCGTGGGTTTTCTCCGGGTCCTCCGGTTTCCTCCCACTGCTAAAGACCCCTACGCGCAAGCGAATTATGTAAATAAAATTAAACCATGCGTTAGTCCCGAAATGACCTAGTTTGTGTCGAGTGGACGTTAAACCCTATTTCTCTCTCTCTCTATAAAGAATGTAATTTTATTGTTAAGAATTATACGTTCTTCCACATGCAAGTAGTATACCTTAATTTAAAAACTAATTATTCGGAATAAACCCTATAGTTTTGTTATAAAAGACTTAGACTATGCAGTAACGTGATCAAGAGATTATTTGTAAAATCATCACGTAAAGCACCTTACATTCAAGTGGTATTAATCACACCACGGCGCGTCTGTCCATGAAAACGGGATAAGTGGATGCCATGTTAATTAAAAACTTAATATAAAACACAAACTGACCAGTTTTTCTCGCGGATGTACTCTGCTCACGATAACCATATTAATTACACGTGTAGCAACTTGATTATTGGTCTAAAATTCCGGAATCGTGTCATCTAATAATGTTATCTAGAAACATATATATAATATTCACAAATCCAAACACTCCGTCCGCTTAATAGACACAGAATTAAGCAATTCTTCGCTACAGCCACAATGAATCTATTGTATTGCACAACAGTTGAAAGCATTAGAAATCCATAGTATGTCCTTCTTTATTTCATAAAAACAAATTCTTTGTCATTATTGATTTGTACAAATGTATTCGTTTGGGGTTTATTACAATCACATATAGATCAATAATCCCTACTTCTCCATTTACTCCACGGATCAAATACCGGTGGCCGATTCCCACCCTGGATCTGTCATGTTAATCCGCTTGGTTCTGTCGCTAGCGTGGCTTTAACACGACAATTTACAGATTTCATAACTATCAATACGTCTGGAACACTCTTCTGGTCAATATTACGCCACACGCCAACCTTAACTAAATATCTATCTAATAAATACAGAATTTTTTAGGAAGTAATTAATTTAAAATGTCACATTTCAAGTCGTTTATGTTCAATTATTTATAGTTCAACACAACACGGCAAATCACAAATAGAATTTTAAAAATTTACAGACAGTGAGGAATCATGGTTGTTTTATATATTAATTAAGGACAAAGGATTAACACAAAGGACGTCGCTGGATTTAAGCTCGATCGACAAAAATGAAAAAAAATGAAATGGGGTTTAACGTCCCACTGTTCTGCTCCTAAACTGGGCTAATGAAGACGGGCATACACCATACAGTGTGCTATGAGGGAAATTTTGTCCGGGCAGCGGCGCTACGTCCTACTCTTATATCGAATCCCAACTGCCAAGGTCCTCCGTCCTGCATCACTGACAAGGGAGAATCACGCCGGAAAATCTGGATGAACTTTCTCGGCCAATGCAGGGATCGAACACCCGACCCCCAGGCTAGCGAGCCAGCGTCTTACCCACTTAGCCACGTGATCCCGGAACCGGGTTGGAAACCAAACAGAAATACAAGATTGGGCGATAGCTCATGTCATATACATGAAACAAAATAATCCAGAATAACGCCACTTTGACCAGTCGAGTTTACTGTAGACAAGTGTTATAATCGAAGTTCTCACATTTAAAAATCAAACATACCATTACTTATGTATGGTTTCCCCCGAGGAACATGTAATAAAATCATATCGATGCTAATGGTAAAATGTATCAACATGACGATTGTGAGACTTTCGGGCACTACAGATTCATAAAATGCATTAAAATTATATAATTTTCAAAATAACCCACAACTTTGGGGTTCAGCTGGCAGCTTGTTGCTTATCATAATCCCAAGGTGTATTTTACTGGATAAAACTGATTAACCATTGTGTGGACACGTCGCACGAAAAACATTGTCGGCAACAAGGGGTAATCTAAGACCCCAGGCATAAATTGGTTTTTGGATGCATTATTTTATTAAATGCGATCAAACTACAGGTCATATTATAAAGACTGAATAATAATCACTCAGAGTAACCAGCAAAATGTTGATAGGAAAGGGGAGGGGGGTCTACAAGACCCCTTGTGTCCGATAATGTAATATTCGTAGTTTCTTGTCAAATGATGAATGTTGGCACTGCCCCACTTCCGTTCTATTTGCAGCTTTATACTCGACATTAAGTAGTTGACAATGTATAAAATTCTCGCTAGACAATTATGAACCAGTTCCTCACAAACGTTAAGGATATGGTCATGGGGCCCCGAAATACCCCTTGTATACGCACAAAGGTTAATGTGTGAAAGTCGGCTTGTGCCATTATTCCAACAAATATAACGTTATACTGATTATGAACGAGATTATGTGGAGTCTGCGGACACCATTCTTAGAATTCTGCGGACACCATTCTTAGAATTCTCCGCACAGAGATCGATTTCCAGATGATGGACAATCTTGAGGAACTGAAAGAGATGGTTGGGCTGGAGCACAGAACTCGTTCCGCGAAGTGAAAACGAATAATGAATAGGCGATTATACCAATTCGTCGTGAAAGAGAAGATGGGGCATGAGCTTGGTTCTGTTCAAGAAGGTGGGGGATGGGCGACGTTTCTCGATCAGCAGACATATTGACATTACTGTCTAAACATCTTGGACCATAAATTTCATCCCATGTTGACCACGGAGCTGAAGTATGCAAAGACATTAGTGATCACTGACGTCCCTGAAGACGAGAGGCAAGCTTAGAACTTAATGCTGAGCAGGAGGCTTCCCGATCATAGAGAAGCTTTCTCCAAATAACCTAGCGATAAGGATAAATGGTTAATTAGTTGTTACTCTTTCTTGAATATAAACCTTCTGTATATTATTTGCTTGAAAACGAAGATAACCCTTAACGAAACGTCGCTTTCATTAAAATAGTAATTGTGTTCCCTATTTTTGTGTATTACGCGTGTCAGTTGCTAAATGCCGCTCAAAGGAGAGAATCTAGTAGTTGATAATATAGCCTCATTCGGATCAAGTACAACAATGCAATAGCCAAGTCATTAGTTACGCTTCCTATTATATCAGACGTACGAGCAAGGCACAGCAAATTATATACATATATGGATTTTAATCTGTGATTTTTATCGTACAACATCAAATGTAGCTCTATATAGAAAGTCATAACGAATAACGTCGAGAACGTGCATGTCAGCTCTCAAACATCAAGGGCGGAATACAATGATCACGCACTGAAAACTAGTTAACTTATGGCCTATGTCATTTCGGGACTAACATATGGTTCAGTTGTTTTTAATATATAATTCGTTTGGGCGTAGGAGCTGTGGGGGAAACTGGAGGGCACCGAAAAAACCCACGACATTGGACAGGCGAAACCACACAACTTGACTCAATGGCAGATCTTATGATATAACCTCGGAGTAAATGTGTGGAAGAGTGGGGTTAGTAGTATTTGCTTAAATGTGACACAAAAATTAAATCAAATGGGGTTTAGCATCTTACGTTGCTGCTCAATCCGTCCAATGAAAACTGCATACGTCATACAGTGTATTCTGAATTCCAACTGCCAAGGGTTCTTTTATGTGCAGACCAACGTGTATACGGAACCTCGGCTTTTCGTACCACCCGTACCACTAGACGCAGTCCCTTGAAAGGCCCTACGTCTTGCACCAGTGACAAGAGGAAATAACGTGCGAAAACCAGATGAACTATCTCGGCCAACACATACTGAATGAGTGGAGCTTGGATATGACTTACTTCGAAAGAAAAGCATATGCATTAATTTTAGATTTTTAATGTCCGTCGGTTACATTACATATTAAGACAATGGCGCCTAT